AAAAATCTTTTGCTTTTTCGTACTCTCCCATATGTCTGTAATCCCAACCCAGATTGTTGTATATTATCGCAATATTAAAATGGTCCAGTCCAAATGCTTTCGTTTCAATTTCCATCGCTCGTTCACAAAAATTTTTTGCTTTTTCAAACTCTCCCATATCTCTGTAAACTGAACCGAGATTGTTGTACATTGTCGCAATATTAACATGATCAGGTCCAAATGCTTTCGTTTCAATTTCTATTACTCGTTTATAAAAATCTTTTGCTTTTTCGTACTCTCCCATATCTCTGTAAAGTGAACCCAGATTGTTGTACGTTGACGCAATATTAACATGGTCAGGTCCAAATGTTTTTGCTTGAATTTCAATTGCTCGCTCGAGAAAATCTTTAGCATTTGCATATTCTCCATTCTTCAAAAGCAATGAACCCAACTGGTTGTACGAATATGAAACATCAATATGATCAACACCTAACACTTTAGTTTGAATTTCTGTTATTTCATAAAGTACTTTAGTTGCAAGTTTATAGTTGCAAAATCTTTTCAAAACATCTACAAAATATTTGACAATATCCCAATTTCTTTCATCAAGTTTTTGTTTTCTAATGAAAAACCAGAATGATTTTTTATCGATCAACTTATTTAGGAAATGTTGAAATGATGAATTTGGTATGAATTTACTTAGATGTGGAATTATTTTGATTTCATCTTCTCTGTCTTTAAAATGATTTAGTGCCCAAGCAACTTGACAGGCAAAATCAGCTCCAGACTTTTTAGAATTGTTTTTGTTTTGTTTACAGCCAAAGGTCTGCGATGAATAATTTATGATGGCTTCGTGTACAACGCTGTGAAGGCGGATGTCGTTGTTTTCCGTTTGAAGGAATAAAGAACAATGCTTTAGTTGAAGACAGACATCTTCTTCAGATATTTTTGGATCAATGCTTTTAATAAATTGTATTATAACATCTTGTGGTAAAGGATCGAAAGATATTATTGAGAAAAGTTTAAAAACATGTTTTAACAAGGTGGATTCTTCAGCATTTTTTTGTACTGCTAACATAACAGTTTTCATTCCTAAGTAAACTGTGTTTATTTTTTGAAAATTAGCATCTATGTTCTGTCGCTCTTCTTCATTCAACTTTTCAAAATATTGCTCCCACGTGAATGTCGGATTTACACTTTTTACTCTACCTACGTAGGAAGCAACATTTGCCAGGAACAACGGTTGACGATTTAATTTGTCTGATAAATCCTTTAAAAATTTTTCATCTTTATCATAAATATCAGAAAAGACAGATAGAAGTTCTCGACATTCTTCATTGTTCATACCATGACTAACTGAAATGTGTTTATTTAGATTTCCATCTGGTGGTATAGCATCTGTATTTTGGACAGTTACTATAATTTGACCATTTTTCCAGCTATGATCACCAACTTGAGGTAATAATGGATAAATTTTATGAAGTTCAACCACGTTATCTACAACAATCCACCATGTTTGCCATGATTTCAGTTTTTGTGTCAGCAATAATTGAAAATCTTTGATTTTGTCTTCGCTGCATTTTGCTTCTTTTGAGATATTTTCAATGACAGTTTTATCATCGATTAATCGTTTACAAAGTTCAACATAAGTTTTCAAAAGAGAGTCAGCATCTTTTCCTTCGAGTGTCATAACAAACGTCGTTTGATTTTCCCAGTCAAACGAGTTATACATTTCTTCGCAAATTTGTCTGGCTAATTGAGATTTACCACTGCCAGGATTACCAGAAATATAGTAATATGTTAGTTCATTATTGTTAGTACTGCGTAAGTTATTGAGATCTGCTGTGATTTGATTAAGTAATTCTGTACGTTTAACTACATCGTGATTTGCTTTGCAAGGAAGTACTTGAAAAGAATTAAATCTGTTACGTTGACATTTAAGTTCAATAATTTCAATGAATGAAAATGCTAGATCTTTAAATGACTTTTCAATATCACAAAACATTTTGTCAAATTCGGTATCAGATACTCTTCCAGGATTGTCATGAATTAATTTGTTTCTAACAATACGAAGTGCATCAACTGCAGATCTAACTTTTAGGTTAACCTTTGTTCCAATTGAGTTGGAATACAGTATTGCTGCAAATAGTGTCGTACAATCCCACTTACTGGTGTCACCCACTTGAAACTTTGACAAAATATGGTTGTCTAAACGTTTCTTTTTTGTTCTTTCAATATTGAACAACTTCTGACCACTAACGTTTGTATTTTCCCATTCTCCGTGGGATTTTTTGTAATTATTGTTCCACTCTTGGATAAATAAATCAACAAGTTTCTTCGTAACAACATCTGTAAGTATTTTCTGAATGTAGTAGTTATTCCATTCTTCTCTTGACTCCATCTACGGATTATAAAAGACTGAAATTTGTTGAATATTATCATTTTGAAAATTTTCAGTTGTATATGAAAGTGGTTAAGGAAGGTGGTAGCTAAAAACAAACCCTATGTGTTTAAAGTTTTCCTGCATTTAGGCATTTCTGTGGAAGTTAGACAAGTTTTTAAAATCCTTCATAAAAAGTTATAACTTGTATGCCTCCATGCTCATTCTATCGTGTCGTCAAGAAAAGTGAAGCAAGTTTAGTTTATAAGTTTTAGTTTATATAAGTTTAAAACCTAGGTAACACCTGCGTATACAAAAATAGACCAGGTGGAGAAAGGTTATCGTCCCCCAACGCGGGAGTTTACTTGAATAGACTTTTTGTCAATATTGGGGCGTTGATTTCAAAAAACGATGTCATACGGGCAATTTAGGGCCTTTGAGCCTCCTTTTCATAAAAATTGTTATTTTAGCTTTATTTCCAACAGACATACACTATGACATCGTAAGACGTTTAAATATATCAAAAAACAAAAAATTAGTGAAGAAGGCCCAGAAGAAAAATAGAAAAACGTTTTACCTTGAGATTTGTCTAAATGTTTAATGCTTTTTGGTGAACGTCATTTCCTGGCGTACGTACGTTTGCAAAGAAATTTTTTGGAAACGAACTTTACCAGAGGCACCAGAGCCACGGGAGCAGATGGTTGCCCCTTTTCATATTTTGAACAAATAAGAGACGTATATCTTATTCCCGATATGCAAGTTCCCCACTTACAGATTCTTCAACTTTTATCTGATTCGAAGTCTTGTTAGATAGTGTGTCTTTAATTCAGCTGTAATTTAGCGCGTTTTTTATAAAACATTTTGATTAATTTCTAAGGAAGAAATAAACATTAATTTTGAAGGCAGAGAATGTAATGTGTAAATACTGTTTACTTTGAAAAATTTACATTTTAAATTAATAACGTTTTTGTTATGTAGAACATAAAACTTCGCGTTTGTGGGAACGGCACCTACACAGTCAAATTTTGCTGGCAGAATTTTATCGCTTGTATTGAGTCATGCTCATAAAGAACAAAAATACGTTTAGGAAAATAGAATGTACATAGTTGGGTTTACAAGTGTATCCGTTCCCATACGGTTAACTCCGAAGAAACACTTATTGACGTCATATATGACGTCCATATATAGATTAGATATTAGATAGAGCAATTATTTGACAAGTGATGATATTTGTTATTTGTAATGAAAACTATATAAATATTGCTCTGTAAAACAATAAAATTAGCTCGTTCAATAAGTAGAAATTTGGAGCAATACCACGTGATTTACGAGCAAAGAAAGATGAAATAAAAAGAACAAGACAATTGCTGATGCGAGTGGTCAAACCAAAATAGCATCATTTTTTCATTCTCAAGAAATTGGTGTAAAATTAACACACGATAACGAAATTAAAAAGGGAAGATGCTACTTCATCAACTATCAGTACTGACTGTAACCTGGGTCGTGAAACATCAACGGCGAATGTTGGTCCATGGATCAAAGGTATGAGGGACTCAACGATGGCAAGAAGCTTCCAGGTAAAATCAAAAGAGGGTTTTTCCAGTCCAAACGGCTCAATAAAATGCGAACGGTGCTCATATTACCACGAGAAGCAAGCAGCATTTTGTGAAACGTGTACAGAATACAGGCAAGCATACAATATTCAGCATTCATCTTCACTCCACCTGGCACAGGTTTCTGTAACTGGAAGAAGGGCGTAGAACGTCTAACAGATCACGACCAAAGTGAAAATCACAAGAATGCTACTAAACAGAAAAGAAATACTCAACCTACAGTTGATTTTGCAGATAAGTAACCATGTAAAACAGCAGCAACGTCTGAGGCGACAAGGCTTCGTAGCCCATTTTAATACATCAAAAACATTTCTTACACAGGGTGTAGGAAGTCGGAGTCATACAAAATAAGATTCGAACATCATTCTATTTAACAAAGACAAAGCCATCGATCAAGAGGGATTAAATCTTCTTTTAAAAGAAAATCAATTCATGTCTTACGATTTTTTAGTTGAACAAGAAGAAAGATTGGTGCTGAGTGCTAGAAGAAGTCTATTTAATGAAGTAAATAGTAGTAAATTTTATGCCATCATTTGCGATGAATCAAGTGACATTTTGAAACTGAACAATTATCTATTTCTCTTTGCCATCGTACTGAAAACTGCAACGTTTTAGAAGATTTCAGTGGCGTCATGCCATGTAACGAGGGCTTATCATCTGAAGCCTTTTTAAAATATGTTAAAGACACATTGATGCATTGTAATTTAAATCCTCAAAGAATGGCTGATATGGCATTTGATGAAGCTTCAGCAATGAAAGTTTGACAGTGCTAATAAAAGATGAAGTTTGCAAACATGCACTTTATATTCAATGCTTTGCCACCTGCAACGAGCTGCTATTCAAAGATGTTTTGTCGCTTTCGAAAATGCTTGCTAACGCCCAGCATTTATGCAAAAAATTGTATCTCCTTGCTGGTGTAGGCCCAAAAATAGGGTTTTACTTTTTCAAAATATCCAGAAGGAAATTTCATAAGTTTATATTTGATAATGTCAGAATTATGATAGTTTGTGAGAAGAGATATTCAATAGTTAAAAGATATGTATATAGTTCAGTGTATTACGTCATTCATATATGTAAATTAATACATATTTTAGAGAGCACATGGTCTTGTAGACATAAGGAGTGCAAGTTGTTAGTTTTAAGTATACTCTTTTATAATTCTACTAGCAAGCGTCGACGTGTTATTTAAACAGGTTATGGACCCAGGACGTGGAAGTAATTTAATGATATAGAAGATAAAAATTTTGTCTTGTTAACATAACGAGAAATTGTGTTGTCATATGTAACGAAGCAATCATGGCGGAAATAACAAAAATTAATAAATTGTCAGGAAAGAAATACCAAACTTGGAAATACAATGTTAAGTTAGTTCTAATGGAAAAAGAATTATGGAGTTTTACACAAGAAGAAAAAGAAATTCCTCTTCTTGATACGGCGACGATTGCGACGGAGAATCCATTTCAATTAAGGTCGGATAAGGCCTACTCTCTTATATCTCTAAAAGTAGAAAAACATTTACAAATACATATTTCTGGAACCACAGATCCGCTCATCGCATGTAAAAACTTAAAAGATCACTTGGAATTTATCTCGGTCACACAAATAGTAAGATTGAATCGGAAATTTTACGCTGAGAGCATGGAAGAAAGGGAGATTTGCTGAAGCATATCACATATATGACCACATTAGCAGAACAACTGCGTGAAACGAATGATGAAATTTCGTCAAAGAAATTGGCAATGGTGCTTTTAGGTAGTCTACCAGAGGATCGTTGAGGAACATCTTAAACATAAAGAGAAAAAAGAAGATAAGAAAGAAAACAATTTATTATACATGAGAAAAAAGGAAAACTACAATCGAGGAAAAAGGTATGACTTTGGAAAAGTCAATGAAAGGCCTAGAGGAGAAATTTCACAACACAGCAAATCAGGATGGAACATAGAAAAAGATGAAAGAAGGTGTGATTCCAATAAGGGAAGAAATGTTACCTGTTTCAGATGTAACCAGGCGGGACACATATCAAGAAATTGTCCGTTAATACAACCAATAAGAAAGAAGGAAGTTCATGTGTTATTGAAGGCAGTGATGTTGCTCTTATTCATAATATTAAAACCTCTGATGAATGATTCATCGATTCCGCTGCAACAAAACATATGACACACAACAAGGATTTGTTTGTGGACTATGTTGAATATCAAACACAAACAGAAATATATTTGGGAGACAACACTGTGATACATGCTCTTGGTGAAGTTCTGGTAAAGTTATTATACAATGTTGATTTGGACAACGTGTTGTATGTGCCAAAGCTTGCAAAGAATCTACTCTCCATACCAGCATTGATTGCCATGGAAACTAAAGTCCAATTTGATGAAAATGGTTGTATCGTATCAAAGAATAATAAAGATTATGTTATTGGCGAGTTAACAGATGGTATGTTAAATACTGTGAAGGATGCTGAATATTCTCAATCGTCAATTGATACATCTCCTCAAATATGGCATCAAAGGTTAGGCCATCTCAATCATGATTACATGAAGAAAATGATGAAGAAAAATATGGTGAAAGAAACGGATAATGGAAGAAACGAGAAAGCTACAAATAATTGTGAATAATGCATCGGCGGAAAGATGCACAGAACTCCTTCTCCTAAAGCAAGTCAACACAGAGCTACTAAAGCATATGAAGTTGTCCACAGTGATATATGTAGCCTAATGCAAGTTGAATCAAGTTGAGTCGACATATGGTAACATTTCTTGACGACTATTCATGGTTTTCAGTTGCATATTTCATCAAGCGCAAAAGTGAAGTACTCGCAAAGTTTAAAGAATTGTTAATAATATGAAAAACCAGAGTTCAAACAAACGACATGTGAAGATCTTAAGCAGTGTTAATGGTGGGGAATACACATCAAACAATTTCACCAATTATTGCGCTAAGGAAGGAATAAATCAAGAATTTACAAGCTCATATTGCCCAGAAGAGAACGGAATGGCAGCGCGTCTCAACCATACAACGCTGGAATCTGCCAGGTCAATGATATATACAGCTGCATTGCCATTGAACTTTTGGGCAGAAGCTTGTAATACCACCATTTATCTTCATAACGAAAGTGCCACAGCTATATTAAAGAACAAAACACCATTTGAATGCTTATTTGGTGAGAAGCCTGATCTTTAAAACCTAAAGGTGTTTTGATGCAAATGTTTTGTACATGTCCCAAGCTGTAATCGTCAGAAACTTGATCAAAAATCAAACAAAGCAATCTTTGTCGGCTATCCCACGGGCACTAAGGGATACAAGGTATTCAACTTAAACCAAAACCGTTTTACAATCAGTAGAGACGTAGTATTTCTTGAAAACAAATTTCCTTTGCTGAACAATCACATCAGAGGAATGTCAATATGTTAAGCGACACCGTCGTTCATATGGACGAAGAAGATGTAACAACAGAAGAAAAACAGAATGAAGGAACCAACGAAAATGCTGATACAACTCATTCAGAAGAGCAAGCGACACAGTTGACATGACTATAAATAATGAACAACGCTCAAGCAGAGAAAATACTGAGCAAGTGGGAGAACATGTAGAACAACCAATTCGTAAGACATACGAAGATTCATTTATGGAAGATGTAAGAAATTTAGGACAAACAAGAGAAAGAAAAATCCCTCATCGATTTCGGTAGACGCATATCAAGTTGCTGAATCGCTGATTTCAGACATAGATGATCCTAAAAGCCTTAATGAAGCAATGAATGGAAAGCATGCAGAATTATGGAAGAATGCCATGACAGAAGAATACTCATCTCTTTTGTACAATAACACTTGGGAATTGGTTGCACCATCGAAATAGAAGAACATCATCGGTTCCAAATGGGTTTTCAAGGTAAAAAGGAATGAAAATCTATTCGTTGACAGATGTAAAGCCAGACTGGTTACACAAGGATACTCACAATCGAAAGGAACAGATTACGAAGACATATTTTCTCCTGTGGCCAAATACACGTCAATCAGATCTCTGGTATCTATGGGAAATGCTCAGAATTTTGAAATCCACCAGATGGATGTCAAAACAGCGTTTCTAAACGACAATATAGATTACGAAATTTATGTCTCAACAAGATGAATTCGTTGATCCACGGAAACCTAATCACGTATACAGATTAAATAAAAGCATTTATGGCCTCCAGCAATCGACTCGATGTTGGTATGATATGCTTGATAAATATCTATTATCGATTAGCTATCGAAAGAATGATGCAGACGAATATATATATGTTAAATCAGTAAAGAAGGACAATGGGCACATTAGTTTTGTGATTCTAGGAGTATACGTCGACGATACATTTCCGGTGTCCGACGATGTCGAGATGCTTAATGCAGAAAAACAAGCACTATGCCAAAAATTCAGGATGGATGATCATGGAGAAGTTCACTTCTTATTGGAAATGCTGATCAATCGTGATCGCAAGGCGAAGACAATAACAATAAATCAACGAAATTATATGAAAAAGATATTGACAAGATTTGGTATGGAATCGTACAAACCGATGTCCACACCGATGAAAAATGGCAAGAAATTTCATGTAGTGCAAGAAAACGAAAAGGTTTGTTGATGTGCAGACATATCAACAAGCTTCAGGATGCTTAACATATTTATCAGCAATTACCCGTCCCGATATCGTAGCAGCTGTAAATGTCCTATCTAAATACATGGCAAAACCAAGCAATGATCATTGGATCGGGGTGAAGCGTGCTCTTTGTTATCTAAAAGGAACGTTAAATTATGGACTGAAGTATACCGCTGATGATGACCCCAAATTAGGTGGATTTTCAGATTCTGAAGATTCTGAATGGGCGGGAGATACAGATTAGAGAAGATCTACATCAGATTACGTTTTTAAACTTGGAGGAAACACAGTGAGTTGGTCAAGTAAGCAGCAAGCTACTGTTGCCAAATCTTTTAATGAGGCGGAATATTTCGCATTGTTTATAGCAACGCAAGAAGCGATTTGGTCGAGAATGTTATTGAGGGATTTGGGATTAAACACGAAGACGCCCATCATTATTTTTGAAGATAACCAAGGTGCGCTAGAGTTAACCAAAAACCCAAGCCACCCCAGCCGTACTAAACACATAAATATATGCCATCAGTTTATTCGTGAAAGGATTTCGTCAAAGGAAATTAAAGTGCAATATTGTCCAACCGAAAGGATGATTGCTGACATAATGACAAAGGCATTGCCCAAGCCAACATTTAAAAAGTTTAGAAATCTATTAAATGTTTATTTAGTTTAAAGACGAAATTTCACGCACAACCATTAAGCAGGAGTGTTAGAATTATGATAGTTTGCGAGAAGATATATTCAATAGTTGAAAGATATATATATAGTTCAGTTTATACGTCATTCATATATGTAAATTAATACATATTTTAGAGAGCACATGGTCTTGTAGACAGTGGGAGTGCAAGTTGTTAGTTTTAAATATAATTTTTACATATAGGATGGACCCTCTTTTATAATTTTACCATCAAGCGTCGACGTGTCATTTAAACAGACAAGAACGATAGTTGTTATTCAATTTGAATAACTGCATAATTTGTTTGCCAAAAATACAGCAGAGTGATTAACTACAGTTTTTGAATGAAAGTCATCTTCGGTTAAATTGAAATTTCTATGCAGAGTGCACATAAAATTATCATGAAAATCTTTAACAATTGATCATTCCATAATTATATAAAGCAAAAATACATCGATAACATTTGCACTAAACATTAATGTTGTAAACATATCTTGTTTAATTGGTAATAACGTGGGAAAGGTCGGTATTTTCACAGTGTAAATCATTCAAAAGTTATCTGTGTTTGAAAATCCCACAAAACTTAAGAAATGTTATCCATATAAAACATATGTAGCGCGGAAAAAATTTCTAAGTTATATTTAACTACAATATTCGTGACATCAAAACAAAACAATTGATACATGTACACGAAACATTAAATCAGAAGGTTAAAATGCACTATTACATAAAGGCGAGTAAACTTTAAAATCAACATACCTCACAAATTCAGAAAGATTAAAAACGACGCAACCAATTACATGTGTTTGCTTTTGCTTGATAATAAAGAAATAGGAATATTGAATAAATGCTTGATATTAATCACCTGCTGTTTTTATTGTAAAATATTGAATTCTGGTCATACCCAATTAAATATGAAATGCAAATTTTTTATTTTAGCTATTACTGAAGTAAACACAAAGACGTTTTGACTTGGAAGCTTTATGCCAATAAACCTTTCACAGTTTACTATTATTTATTTCAGTGGCGTGAAAAGAAAGTAAATGTTGGGGGGCTCAAGATTTTAGGGGCAGTCTTTATTTAAAAATTGAAGTTCGAATTTCAAAGTAATTAATCTCGAAGTCTCTAATTTTGAATAATTTTGTCACATCTCAGTAATCAGAGATACTACAAAATTGATAGCGTTTGGACTTGACAGTTCATCATGCAAAGTTTTGTCATTTTGCGAACTTCTGACGCAAACAAATATTTTAAATAGTCTATCTTACAGCAGTTTAAAATTATAGACCAGAAAAAAATTACGTGTACTATCACGTGAAAAAAGGAGCTTTTCACTCTAAGTAGGTGCAATTTCTAAAGACATACCTAGAGGAACGTTTTTATGACATCTGTGTTAGGAATACGATAAATAGATAGATGACTGTATGAATGAGGAAGAAACTCTTCTTGATAAAAGCCATGTTAGATAACATTAAAATTATTGGACATAATGATATGCATGACTGAAATGTGACGTGTCATAACTTTGATTCATCTTGTTGATTTTTATCCTTGTCGTAACAATGATATTTGAAAAGACTAGTGAAATTAATTGTTGGTGATAAAGCTAGGAAGGTCAGCATTTTGAAAAGATAATTATCCAATGTGTTATTGAGAAAATCACGCCTAAGTCAACAGACGTATCAATATAAAACATATGAAGCGCGAATTCCTCCACGAAAATGACATTCAGGTTTTTTATGACAAATATAACAAAATTCTAGACATAAGAACAAACAATGATACTATGTCAAGTGAACTTTATATAATCAACATACCTTTACAAATTTAGAAAGATTAAGGACGACGCAACCAACTATATGATGTGTTTGCTTTTTCTTGATAATAAAGAAATTGGAATGGGTGTAGATAAAAAGCGGGCGCGGACGACGGACGCGGACGGTGGACGCAGACGACGGACGCGGATGGCGGACGCAGATGTAAGACGAACGTCTGTTTTTTGCGGGCGGGAATTGCAAATGATTTATTGTAGGAGTTTGACAGTAATTTAAACGAGCTTTATCTTTCAGGATATATTTTTTGACCTCATTATTCAAAGCAATTAAACATGCATATTTCAATTTTCAGTCAGTCATATAGAGTGTAACGCAATTGTATTTTTTTCGTGTTTTGTTAATGGCATTTCACTCATGTTGGCCTTACGTGGGTGAGCCTTGCATATTTACTGCACTGATAATGATTTCCGTCAACTTGTCATTTGGCAAGCAGTACGTATATTGCAGTTTTCAACTTGAACTTCCTTTTGAAAGCTGAGGTTAGAAGCAGTTGCAAATTAGTCAGTGCGTCAGTTACAGCTTGAAAGTATACTTTAATCATATCGATTGTACATCATGTCCAAACGTTTGTACTCGGACATTGTAAAAATTGGTTACGAATCGACTGATTCCAGCGAAGATGAAATAGGATGTCGTGCACAGGTAACTAAATTTAATATAGGAGCAACGATATTTAGTAAGAAAATACATTAAAAGATTTTTATTTGTATTTTTTTCATTTTAAAGAACAAACCTTGTAAAAGCAATGTGTCAGACAAACAAAGTCCATCTATGATGCAAGATTTGAACATTTCCAGCCAAAGCGATGTATGTTGAGTGAGAGCATTTAATAGACTAATTCATTTACTTCTGAAAAAAATATTTCGAAATTTTCTTCGGCAGAGTAATAAAAAGAATTAGTAATAATAACATATTATACTAGGACAGCAACAATGCTACCACAGATGAAGACAGAAAGCAGCTAAAGTCAAGCAATCTTTCTTGCAGCCGTAGAAAAAGTCTTCGCTACCTTAAAATGGTCCTTGAAGCGATTTCGTTTATTTTCATACGAGCGTTACTTCTGTCATAATGCATTGGCAATAGTGCATTTACGAAATTCTGTCGTAATACTATACAATTTGTTGTATAGCATATAATAACTGTTATAGAGCATATAAAGTCAAATAGACGCATATTGACTTTTTATTTATGTCAATTGATTCCGAGGTATTTAAGAACAGTGCGTTTCACAAACCTGTTCTGAAATTTCAGTCTGTGTATATTTTGTGACATATTTATAGACTAAAGTGAAATATAAAGAATTAGCTGAAAGGAATCATCCAAAGGAAGAAATTGTGATTTTGAGCGATGATAGTGACGACAGTCTATTTCAGGTGGATCAAAATGTGAAAGATCATTGTCTTAGCTTCTACGACTGCTATCTAATTTTCATTTTTTTTCAATTTCTTTTCGTTTTTAATACAGACTTCGGTTGACATGAGCCGAATACAAGAACATATTGACAAACGGCAGAAATCTGACGCAAGTTCTAGCCGACAAGTCAAAACTGAGGTAAGAAGCACAACAACTTTAAATGACGAAAAGCATGTTTTTCAAATATGGTAGTTTGAGTATTTTCCGAGAGCAGACGATGTGTTTTTCATGTTTGCTGTAGCAATATGCCAAATTTTGATGAATATTAGCCAAATGCATTCAAAAAGCCTTTATGATATTTTCCGTCGTAATTTCCGTGTCAAATTTAAAATTCTGTTACACTGCATTCTTTCAGTCATAGCAATAGAAATATCGTCGCTAGGTTAGTTTTCCGTTACTATTTCTAAAGAGCTAAATACAAGATCTTTGTTTATTTGATTGAATCTTTCTTTTTGCAATGCGTGAGAAACTATAACGCTAGTGATTCATCTATAAAAGAAGGATTCACTCATGTTTTGCAGTATAACTACCGTTCGTATCAAAGGATGCAAGTAACTATTTCTAGCACATAGAATTAACTCAGTGAATTAAAGTTAAAACGAATTGTGTTAAAGAAATGTGGACCACCAGAGAGTGGGACCTCAACAAATATTCTTATCTTATCTTTAAAAAGGAAATTACCTGTAGGACATTCTTTGCATAAGTGCATGCAAAGCTTTTACTTACTTATGGTTTCAATTAATACATATTTTCTTTATCGTATGATTTGAGTCATATAAGATTGACTTTTTTTAAAATTGGAAAAGCAAAATTTATAAGCTACGTACATGGTAGCGTTTGACAAGAAAAATTGTCCTTTCCTGACTCATGATCGTGTCTTTTCATGTATTGTTGCCTTTTATGACTCGTAGCTGTACAAACTGAAATTTGATATTTTTTACATTTTAAACAGGACGTTTCCGAAGAGGCTGTCATTTGTGTCCATGACGAAGATTTCAGTGACAGAAGTTCAATGAGCGAAAGTGATGAAGGGTGTGAATGATACTGCTTGAATACCTACGTTTCTCAATGCTCTTACGCTTTTTTCCCTACTATTTGTATAGAGTTTTTGATGGATACTACAAGGAAAATCTATCACTTTCGCAATTTAAGAGTGGTAAAGAAGTCCTCTCGCCAGAAGAGAGAGTCAAAGTTTTACTTGTACCCCATCCTCCTGAGCGAGTATGTAAGATTACACCCACCAATGTATCAAATAACGTTACATTCTTGATTGACGCCTCTGAATTTAAAGAATGGGATGATTGGAAATGTGACGATATGGGTGCTTGGAAAAACAATGGGGTGAAAAAGACTCGATTTTGTCTTTCTGAGGGAAGGATAAGCGAAGTAGGTCAATGTAAAACCAAGAAAAATGAAGGTTTCTATACATTGGTGAGAATGTATTACAAAAGCAAGACATCTCCTGACATCAAGAAGTACGTGGCATATCTAGAAGGTACAGGCATTTTTAAACGTTTTGGACACAATCATTTTACTGGCATTGATTTTTGACGATGACCAATTTTAATTCTTCATTGAAGACAGAACTTAGATTGTGATTTTATATTTATGTTGCTTGTAAATGCTCACTTCCTTTGTTGCAACCCACATATAGAAAATAAAGCATTATTAATGGTTCAGTATATCTTCGATGGAGAAGAACACGAAATTACGCCCAGTCCTCATGGTAACTCACGGCAGAAACAAGCAGGTGGATATATTCGCACAAAACCAAGCATATTAAAAAGAGTAAAAGAAGTTGCTGAAACATCTGGACCTAGAGGAATCTTTCATCGTGTGAGCGAAGAAAGTGGTGGTTACTTAGGTGCCAGTGCTGCAAGTGATCTTCCCAGAAACAGAACGCAAGCCAAAAATTGCCGAGCCAAAACAAAGCAAATCACGAGTATTAAAAAAGTTGACTCTCTTGCTGTTCTTCTCCAGGAGTGCAAGAGGCAGCAATTAAGCCAAGGGAAAGATCCCTTTATTCGTGACGTATCAGCTGCTCCTGAACTCAGATGTGTTCTGTGTTGCGATTGGCAACTTAATGAGATCGAGCAATTCTGCACTGATCCTCAAAACTTTGTAATATTTTCTGCAGATCCCACATTCAATCTAGGAAACTACAATTTAACTGTTACGACGTATCGCAATTTGAAAGTTGTAACAAGAAGAGAAGGTCATCATCCTTTAATAATTGGACCTCTTCTAATTAGCCAAACCAAAACAACCGAATCGTATGATTACTTCTTTGGGAAATTGACTTCCCTTAATAGAAACATAAAAAACGTTCTTGCCATTGGGACAGATGGGGAAGAGGCTTTGATCAGCGCGATGAAGAACAGTATGTGCTATGCAATTCACTTACGATGCTTTGGGCACTTCCGCGAAAACTGTAAATTACAACTGAGAAAATCAAATGTGTCGGATACAGCACAAAATACTTTTCTTGATGACGTATTTGGAAAAAAATCAGGGGAAATTTATGAGAAGGGTATGCTTGCAAAAACCTATTAGTAAACAGCCATTTGTTACAACATTGCGCATTTTACGTTATCTTTTAGGCTTACTAGACTCCATCGATGAAAGTGAATTTTTCTCCAATCTCAATGCGCTGAAAGAGATATGGGATAAAAGAGAACGTTCTTTTTTGGGTGCAAATCAAGAGCCATCTTTCTTCAAATTTATATATGAAAAGGTAGCTGTATCCTAAAAAATATAATTTTGTACAATATATTCCATAAGTTTCCTTTTCAAGAAACCTTTGTGTCTATAGTGATTGAAATGTTTATTCTTGTTAAATTTACATTTCAACTAAATGTATCTAAATAAATTTTCTAATAGACGCAAATGATCGCAGAAAGTATGCTGACAGAAGTTCGAAAGAATTGTGGAATGGGAGACCCACCCACACCATTCTACACAAATGTACCTGAATCTGCCAATGCTATCATAAAAAGAGCAGTGAACTTTCAAGAAAATGAGATGTCAACATTTGCGATGAAAATGGGACAACTAATCAAGCAACAACGTGAAGATGTAAGAGGTGCTTTACTTAATAGCGGTCCCTACAGGCTAATCGAGAAGTATTCTCATCTTCAACTCACAAAACAACAATGGTTTGCTAAGAGCGCTGCCCAACGTAAAGCTCACGAAAGAAAACTGGACCAGACCTTTTGCGTAGAGGATGAGCAAACTAAAGAAGACGAATGTCTTTCTCTATTCTTATCAATGACACCCGAGGACGCTAACCTATCGAGTGTACCAGTCCAAACCGTGGAAAGAGTTTTCAGAAAAGCTCAGAAACTGTTAATGCAGGATGGAGCTATAGTTTCAGCCCCAGGAGGAAACAGTAAATCTTTTCTCGTTTTAAGCAAAACATCGCGAAGACCTCACTATGTATTCATTGAAAATAGTGGGAAAGTTACGTGTGAAAACTGCCCTGGATGGGCCTCTGCACACTTTTGCAAACATGCTGTGGCAATAGCAGAAAAAACAAACAGCCTAAAAGAATATGTTGCATGGCTGGAACGTACAAAAAATCCCACTAACGTTACAACTCTTGTCACCTTCGACTCTAGTAAAGGTGTTGGAAAAAAGGGAAATAAGCCAGCTACCAAGCGAAGAAAGGGAGGTAGAAAAAAGAAAGACAATGATTCGATAATGATTGTGGATCGAATAAATCAGACTAATTTGCAATCACAGCAACATCAGGTTCTTCTTCATAAGCCACAAACTATAGGGCAATATTATTTTCAACAGCAGTAAACACAAATCGAGCAGCCAAAACAGCAAGTACAACAAAAACATTCACAGAACTTACAACATCTCCATCACCATCATCAAAATTTGCAAGAACATGCACAACAACTATGCAATCCACAAGAATCCACACCATACAGGCATTACGATCGGCTCAACATAACAGGTCAATTAGTACGTGAAAACACACATCCTCTCATATCGCAACCCTCCCAACAGATTAACCCTTTTCCATTATCTGAAGATATCTGCATTTCTCCTGGATATCCTAACCCAATTTATGGGTCGTATCTACTGTATTTACTGCAGTATTGTCCACCTCAAGTGAAAACATGCTATGGATGCAGTAAGCAACTTAAACCAGGTGGTTTCATAAGAAATTCTCCTTATGATTTAGTAATTGTATCAAACACATTGAGAGGATATTATGATAACGAAGGAACGCTAAAACAACGTCCAGGAAACGTCTATTACCATGTCAACACAGGCTGCATAAGAAGTAAACAATCCCATTTTGCGGCAACACTTGTGCATGTGCCTTATAGTATTAAATGTAGATTGAAGAATGAGCATGAGATATTCCTTCGGGAATTCGGCATAATTTTGTAGACAAGAGAACCTATTTTGGTGTTGTCATATACTTTAGGTATTAACAAAAATTATTTATTCTGCTGATCTCTTTTTTTTAATTTTAACTTAAATGCAGTGCAAGCAAAAAGGTCACCTCAAAATTAAGTTTCAAGTAAATTATGTCGAAGAAGATGAACGTATAACATGAAATATACAATTTCAAACTCTTCACATATTTCGGGTTCATTGCCTGTTCATTTCTCTGCATAATTAAGTCTGTCAAAATTTAGCTGTAAATATCATCGTACAATCATTAAAAACAAAGCTGTTTGCACTGTTTGTTGGCGCGTTTTGCGTCCGCGTCCGCTTTTTATCTACACCCTTTAAATTACTGTCAAACTCCTACAATAAATCATTTGCAATTCCCGCCCACAACAAACAGGTAGATAAAAAAAAACAAAAAAAAACAAACAGACAAACAGACGTACAAACGTTTGTCGTACAAACAGACGTTCGTCTTACATCTGCGTCCGCCAACCGCGTTCGTCGTCTGCGTCCGCGTCCGTCGTCCGCGCCCGCTTTTTATCTACACCCATCTTTTGTCACTGGCTTTGAATGTAAAACCTTGAAATGTTTATCTGTGATGTAGAATAGTTTCATCGGAAGAGTTATAAGCAAAATTGAAATGTGTGTGTCGACTGCACATACAAATCGGATAGCATTATTAGAAAATTTTATTCATTAGAGTTTTTCTATCAAAGCAGCATTAGCTTGTTCATTCTGTTAATGTGCGGTAGGCGAGAGCACGGAAAATAACAATTTGAAATATCCCCCCATATCAACTACATAGGTGACTATGCTTGCACGAGTAGTTGCCACGGTAGAATGTGAGGTGTGGGTTGCAATTAATTATTTTAATAACATTCATTGCAAGGCTTTAAATATGATGGAAGTTAGTCATTTGTAAAAAAACCTATTTTTGTATGCACCACACACATTGATTTAAGTTGAAATTGAAATTTTTTAGATTCAAAGATAATATTGAAATCTAGACCAAGTAAAGAATCCAAAAGTCCTGCAATTCTAACTTGGATTGTTCTCTACACAGGAGAAGAGAGACCTGCGGTAGTCATAGCAACTGTCTCCAATAAAAAAGTAGAAACAGTAAAAACTTTCCAAAAAATACAAGGAAAGAATGATGTCTTGTTGAACATCACATCAAAATGTTCAACATCAACAAAAACGCATGTAATTCTACAATTGTTTTTGGCTCCAAACACACCGATTTCGAATCGCGTGACGATATTTCCTTTAGGTAAGTTAAGGCCAATTTATACTTCTTACGACATGTGTCGCGCGACACTCTGGCTTGTGCAATCTATGGGCACGCGCCATCCGACAGTCAAATAAAGCATTTATAGTAAACGCGACAACCCATGCGACAACCGCGCGAAATCTGCATACAAATTTAAAATTATGTTGACATTTACATCAATTAATGCATTGGCAGCACTGTTAATATTCTTTGTGAATCAAATGAATTCATTTCTGCTAAAATGCTAGACAACCACGACAGGCTAATGACAATAGCAGGTATAATTTTTCCTCCATGATTACCACTCTTCGATTTCAAACGCTTTTTGGCTTTCGTAAATCGGTCCCGTATTTTATTCCATTTTTGTCTGCAAACAGCATAATTTGTTTCGAGCTTTTCGGTGATTTTCTTCCATGAATTTGTAGTTTTTTGTAGGTTTTTTCAATCCCTTCTAGACAAGTCTTATATATGAGGGTATTTCCTAACTTCTTCCGCTAATCTTTCTTCGAATCCATCCATGATTTAATATTTTTTCATATTTGTGATAAACATATGCTGAGACAAACACAAATAACTAACCACGTGTTATTAGATAGCCAATTATCTTGCGCGACAATCCGACAAAATGTCTGCGACGTTACAACTTTTTGCGAGGTGCACGTGTGCGACAATACGGTGAAATTACGTCAAATGTTACTTCCGTTTTGGTGAAATGACGTCATATTCCTCATGCGACATGGCGCGCGACACTTGTCGCATGAAGTATAAATTAGCCTTTAGCCTTATCAGGAATTTAAGTTAAATGATTTCTCGGCGTTTGATAAGTCCTTTAGGCAATTTATTAACCCGTATAGCTGTTAGAATCTATTGATAATACGTAGAGACGCATTTTGATACAAATAGTATTAGTAATATTTTTGAAATGCAGGAACTCTTACCCTGAATAATTAGAACTTGAGGATACTCTTACATTAGTATTACTTTATTATCTAAATATCTGCACAAATGCAAAATAAACTTACACGTAAACATAGGCCTATAGGAACAGATTCAAATTTTGGAGGGGTGAAAATGAATTAAGTGGCTGACTTGATAAGATGGCCTCTTTCGTCTTCAAATATTCTTGAACTCTGTACAAACGCAGCACTTGTAGCAAGTTAAGAAGTGATCTTTATTGTTTAGTTGTACTTCATTACAACTCATACTATAATTAATGCAACAAGCAAGTGTCGGAACTTATATAATAAAATAATGGGTAATTGTAATTCGAGACTGTAAACTTATGAAAGAACGGAAACATGAACTTATGAAAAATTTTATTAGTTGTCACATGTTAAAAGTCAGGCATCTTCCGTCACTGGCTTTGAATGTAAAAGCTTGAAATGTTTATCTGTGATGTAGAATAGTTATATCGGAAGAGTTATAAGCAAAATTGCAAATTGTGTGTCGACTGCACATACAAATCGGATAGCATACAGTCCCAAAAACGAATCGCCAAACGCATAACTGCTTTGTGTTAACACGCAAAGGAGAACAAAATGGAACAGCATATATAGTGCAATCAAGATAATTTTTTACAAAAAACAAAAAAACAAAGAGCTTAACACGATCGATCTGACTTTAATGGCCTGTACCATACCCACAATTTGTGGGCATTTAACATGACAGCAAGATGATTCTAGGCCTCGCAGCAGCTCCACCACCTCACCACCCCACCATCCTGTTTTATACGCCTTTATAGCCCCTCTAATATTTAGGTAAACATTGACATAATAAAACGCATCTTAATTTCTTGTAACATTTTATTGCAGTTGCTGTCGCAATTCATAAATATTGTATATACTTTCTATCTTATTTGGTTTAATTTTGTCGCAAATAATGTCAGAATAATCACCTAAAGCCTTACGTGATTAAACGGCGAATAATCCATCCGTTTGGACTAATGATCCGTCTAACAGATCATACGTCAAAGTATAAACACAAGACGAACTTTCTATTAATAAACCACACAAAGTCCAATTTTGCCTTTGAAAGATTTTGGAGCGAGTTATGAACTACGAAGTATTATTTTTTCCGTAGTTTGTCCTCATTCCACATTTATTTTCACTGAAGAATGATGCGTCAAGTCAAAATACCCATGCAAATTCGTCTAAATAAACAAACTATTCAAATAATTCGTACACATCTTGACGGATGATCTGTCAGTTTGCCCGTATATACACAAAGACGAACTTGAAAACGAACTATGTTTTGCTCGCTCAAGTTTGTCCAAATAGATGATCAGTCTTTAACATAAATCTGGCCAAGCAGTAACTTCTGTACACCACTTTGAGAGAGCCACTGGCCTAATCCGATTATAAACTCTTCAAGAATAAAAACCTACATTATACCTACGCACTAAACTCAGATAGATTATCTTACTCTTACTGATATTGTTCTACAGTACTTTTAAGTTTTTCAAGTTTACTTTTTTGCGTTTTTCCAATGTTCAGCTATGTTCATAATGCTAAAAACATATTGCGAAGAAAAAAGAACTGTTGATCGAGTTGCTGTTGTTTTAGTTTCCAGTTGTGCTTGAAGAGTGTAATGGCAAAAGAATTCGGAAAAAAAGGAATTTTTTCTTTTGAATCATTTTTTTCTAGTTTCCAGATCACTTTTTTCGCGAAAAACCTTTCGCATTATCAGCTTGCTATCAGCCATATATGAATACCTAATTGTATAAGAAAGCAAGTCATAGTGGTTTTTCAATGAACTTCTTTACTACCTCATCATGCAATGTGTTGGCTATATAGTGTATAGAGTGTGTATAACCTATACAGCGTATATAGTGTGTATAGTGTGAATAGCCTATATAACGTGTATTGCTTATATATCGTGTGTATAGTAAGAATGTATCAAAAAAGTATATTATGGTAAAAAGTTCTTCGTAACAAGACACGCGCGGTACAGGGGTACAGCTGGAAAAGAAAGTTTCAAAAAATGCAAAATGTTATAGCAGTGAAATATCTGCTTGTAAAAGTCCTTCAAAACAGGCCTGGCGCACGAAAAATTTTCATTTAAAAGAAAATTTAATTATCCTGAGTCAAAATATGGAGGAGGTTGTGCAAGCTATCTTAATTGCAAGCAATTTGAGGGCAAGCGCTGGCCAGCGCAAGATCTTTAAAACTGTTGCGTCAAAAAAAAAACACTAGGACGCCAACAACCAACGTGCTATATTCCAGGTGTATCAAAAAAGTAGACTCTTGGAAAATATTTTCTAAAATAAGACGCGCATGTGTATTTTAACGTTCACTGGTACAGCTGATAATGATTTATTTGCAAATTGAATAAAGTACAATATGAGATTAAGAAGCCAATTCCTAAGGTAAGTGAAATGCGAAAATTCAAGTATTCATAATTTGCTAATAATTGCGAGATATTAACTTGGATCACATATTTTCTAATACAACGCCATATTGATTCTCACTACTTTGGGGCTCCGGGAGTAAATTTGCCCGGCTTCAACTTTTATGTCAGTTGCACTATCTAGTGTATTATTAGAGCTGTGGTTAAAGCGCACCTTAAAGTTTTCTAGAACATTTTCTAAAGAATTTTTACCAAATCAGAATATCGGCAACAATGGCTTGCTTCCGTAGTCCGTTTGGTTTTTCTGATATTTAAAACGTAGCTACATTACATGATGTTATAAAAGTTGCTTATTAAAAATAAATCATTTCAATCTAAAAGAGGAGAGCATAAGCTAATTCAAATTTTTAATAAGTTAAAGTTAACAAAAATATGATGTTCATTTGAAGGCAATCATGATGTATTATGCAAACAACAGAGGCCGGTTGCACAAAGGCCGAATAGCTTTGCATTAGATAGCAAATTTTTTTAAACTTTCAAAAAATCTCTTATGAAAGAAAATTATACGATTTTAACTGTTCAATCACTTAAAGGACATTGGACGTATATTTTAAGTTAGGCTTAATTAACGGGAAATATCGCATAGACTTATAATATACCTTTGTTAGTTCAACCAAAGTTTTTTTCTTCATGTAACAAAGGTTTTTCTGACTCCAATTTAAAAGTTCCGCGGCCATTTTGATTTGTTTTGAATATAATGTGATATGCAGATTTATGCAATGACGTCACAACTGGGAGGCATATCTGGTAACACAATATACTTTTATATGTGTTTTGATGAAGTCAGTGTGAATTATTCTTAAAAAAACGTTTTTTCACACTTTTTTTACATCATGTACATGCAATATACATAATGAAATAAATAAAGAAAAATAAGTTATATATTGATATATTCAGTATACATTTTGTATGGTTGTATCGGAGCTTGTTCGTGTCCATGTTCATTTCCACTCGTAGGAAATCGTAGACGATGAAAAACATCAACAAATATGACAGCTAAAGCTTCATGAAACATATTCGCCAAAGTCTGAGAGATGATTACAAATAGAAGAAAGTTTTAAGAATTGTATTTTTGTAGACAGCAGATTTTGTTGTAAATTGTAATGTTATGTTGTGTAGTGTGTGACTGTGTCATATTATAGATTATAAGATATAACGGAAAAGGGAATATGACTCGGATTTAAAAGCCTTGAAATCTCAAATACCTCAAATCCAATTTCAATTTACTTGGCATATTTGAAATGAGTGTAAAGTGCATCAGATGACCAATACTTCCCTCGTATGCATTTGTACATGCAAGATGGAAATGGCCTTCGACATTTCTTGCCAAGAATATGGAAAATCCATCTCGAACATCTTCGATACGCAACATGACGGTATATTTTGTGTATGACTGCAAGTTCGTCATCACTTAACGGACTGTTTTCTTCAATATACTGCCAAGTATCTATTTCAAGGACGTTTGCCGATATGTTTTGATTGAAGAAAGCAAGTTCAGTCACGCAAGACAAGCCTGCATCCTGTGCCGATTTAAGTTTGCCATCATATTCGTCATATTCAACCGCTTTTTCATGAAAGCAAAAGCATTCAATCGTTTTTGCCATAAACTCACAATGGCCGCATTTACAGCAACTGAGTGAAGTTTTACGCCAACTATACATAGCTTCAAACTCCTCGTCTATCTGATCATCTACTTCGCTCGACGAAGAACTTTCTGAGTCAGAATTCTCACTCTCTACAAATTTATCTGGCATTGGCTCAAACATATATGACTGAACCATAGCATCTTTGTTAATATTTTCCATTTTGAGTGCTGTAACAGCAGTGTAAAGTCCCAAACTTTGCGTAATAAATGAGAATGCTTGTCAATTTGCAATATAAACAATATTCATCAGCGACAAAGTCTCCCTGTTGTGACGTCACATATGAAATCTAATTATTTTGGCTGCTCATTTCAAGATGGCGGACAGCCCTTGAAATAAGCAAACTTTCATTCTAAATTGCGCTTTAAATATATATTTTCAAACCGGAAAAATAATGTTTTACGGAATACTAAACTGCAATGAATGATATCGCGACATGAAAAAATATATGTCCCATGTCCTTTAAATAAAATATTGTTTCGAAGATTACCAAATTTTTTGTCGCAACAAAAATACAAACACCATTTCTACAAGTTTGAAAATTTTCGCTATCCAATGAATAACGCTATGCAGGCTTCGTAAACCAGCCCCTGAATTAGAATAATTCTAGAATGAATATTATGAAGGCAAATTTTTTTATACTAGGTTCCATTGAGGCCCTCTCACCGACAACATTGTCAACTATTGCGCAATCAAGTGTCTTTGCCTCTACAAACGGTAACTAAGTTTTTCAAGTTTACTTTTTTGCGTTTTTTCAATGTTCAGCTATGTTCATAATGCTAAAAACATATTGCAAAGAAAAAAGAACTGTTGATCGGGTTGCTGTTGTTTTAGTTTCCAGTTGTGCTTGAAAAGTGTGTAATGGCAAAAGAATTAGAAAAAAAGGAATCCTTTCTTTTGAATCATTTTTTTCTAGTTTCCAGATCACTTTTTTCGCGAAAAACCTTTCGCATTATCATCAGCTTGCTATCAGCCATATATGAATACCTATTTGTATAAGAAAGCAAGTCACAGTGGTTTTTCAATGAACTTCTTTACTACCTCATCATGCAATGTGTTGGATATATAGTGTATAGAGTGTATATAGCCTATATAGTGTATACAGTGTATATAGTGTGTATAGAGTGCATAGCCTATATAACGTGTATTGCTTATATATTGTGTGTATAGTAAGAATGTATCAAAAAAGTATATTATGGTAAAAAGTTCTTTGTAACAAGACGCGCGCGGTACAGGGGTACAGCTGGAAAAGAAAGTTTCAAAAAATGCAAAATGTTATAGCAGTGAAATATCTGCTTGTAAAAGTCCTACAAAACAGGCCTGGCGCACGAAAAATTTTCATTTAAAAGAAAATTTAATTATCCTGAGTCAAAATATGGAGGAGGTTGTGCAAGCTATCTTAATTGCAAGCAATTTGAGGGCAAGCGCTGGCCAGCGCAAGATCTTTAAAACTGTTGCGTCAAAAAAAAAACACTAGGACGCCAACAACCAACGTGCTATATTCCAGGTGTATCAAAAAAGTAGACTCTTGGAAAATATTTTCTAAAATAAGACGCGCATGTGTATTTTAACGTTCTCTGGTACAGCTGATAATGATTTATTTGCAAATTGAATAAAGTACAATATGAGATTAAGAAGCCAATACCTAAGGTAAGTGAAATGCGAAAATTCAAGTATTCATAATTTGCTAATAATTGCGAGATATTAACTTGGACCACATATTTTCTAATACAACGCCATATTGATTCTCACTACTTTGGGGCTCCGGGAGTAAATTTGCCCGGCTTCAACTTTTATGTCAGTTGCACTATCTAGTGTATTATTAGAGCTGTGGTTAAAGCGCACCTCTTCGTCGTAAACATCTACTACTTACAGCCTGGAACTGACATGCACAGCAAATCACAATGTACCGATGGCGTCATGTTTGATGCACAACATTGACAGTAAAGATGCTCAGATTTGAATGTAAAAGTATTAATAAACATTTACAAAAGTTGAACGACTCGTTTTTTAAGTTTGTTCATTTTTTGCAAGAAATTGACGTTAGTTAAGACCTTCTGATGCACGATGCTCAGCGATTCATTCCAAAATAGCTTAGATTACAAATGAAAAAATTTCTTCAAATATTGGGCTTGAGGAGCGCAGAAAAATAATTGAAAAGCCACCGCAAAATTGCGACAAACTTACTGTGCCCAAACTCAATGAGCTTATATGGTCAAGCCTTAAAAATTTTCCATCGTCAGCGAGATTTGCGCACCGCAGTTCTACAAGATTCTAGTGTGTGTGTCGCAAGTTCTCTTTCAGTTACTGTCGATGACCAATTAAAATGCTGAGAGACAAAGTCTTGCCGGACTTTCGCGCCATTACGACTACGCTCTTTGATGCCGTTACCTTATTAGTGCATGTAAATTTTAGAGCTGTCATACAAGCGTCGACGTGTAGGCCCACCCATATTTTTCCCCATCCCTTCTCCTCCACTCTAGCCTTTGTACCAATACTCGTGCTCTAAATACTGGTCAATTCATGTGCAGTACTCTCTCTCCTACAGTTCCTGCACTCCTCGCTAATGACTAATAGAATTTTATTTAAACTTCGATTTAAGGTAAGTCTCGTTTAATTTCCAATTTTTAACAAAGTGAGACACCTAAGGATCACACACTTGAATGTGAGAAATGATTAATACAGCAAAGTTTGATCATAGCATGACCTTAAGATGGACTCTGTTTTTAAAATTACTACCAAATAATTGTCAGATGACAAGGATTGTTTTGGCCAAATTTGGTCTTAACAATGTTCTTCGTTGTGCAGCTACATTGCAATGAATGAAAAAGTGTCCCACTTTGCTCCAGATTATGCTAAGATATGACGGGAAAAGCGACGAAAGTGTTTTATGGCTAATGACGAGTCACGGTTTTCTAATATGTCTCATCAAAAACAATTGATAACTGTTGATGTAAATGACAAGTTTTAGCTCTACAAGCTGGATTTCTTTGTATACGATTCAAAAATAAAGTTTGAAGTATTAATTGCAATTCTAAGAAAAATACCAACGTTTACCAATACAAAGGAAGATAAAGAAACAAAAACTCAAATTAAAGTGTTGAGGAACGAGTTTCGCTAATCGGAGCGCACATCGTCATCTTTGAGAGATAAGCAGTTTATAAGAAGACAGACATATTAAAATAGTCTTATCACTTCAGCACTTTCAGTTGGTCCGCAAGCTTTGCTTTTATTATTTAAATCTACAGCTTGGATCGTGAATTGAAACACCGACGTTAGAGCTCTACTGTTGTAAACGTATTTTTTTTTGTCGAATTCAATTTCGGTCTATTCCCTTATGCAGTGAACGATTCTGACGATGAACTTTTGATTGAAACTCAAAAAAGAGCCGATCACCAACCGTTGTTGGAGTGATTTTTAATTTAATAAGCATGCATAAATATTGCACACAAAAAACAAACTTTTGTTTCTTAGAATCTAGCTTGGAAATATTTGAAATACAAATACTTCATCGAAATTTCAAATCAGAACATGTTCAAACCATGTTTTAACAATTATAGCTACTTAGCTACGAACAATCACCCATAAACCGGAAAAACGGCAAAGTTAATTCTCGCTACCTTCGGCAATCTTTGTTGTGTATTTACGACAATACTAAATACACGACGATAACAACAAATGGGGAAAGAATAAATTGACCCGATTTGTCAAAACCTTAGAAAGGGAAAATATACAACAGGTGCATCTAACTTCGAATCCTACCTTCCCTGCCAGCCAGCGAGAAGTTCTGCACGACCAAGATACGTTTTGAAATATTCCTTATTTCCACTTTTGCATTCTACAAAATTTAATGCAACATTATAGGAAGCTCATAATCGCACCGAAAAAGAAAAGAGCCAACTGCCTAACCATAGCTCAATATACGTGTATACAGTGTAAAAATAGATACGTGTATACGTGGAAAAATAGATTGGTCAAAATGACAAAAAAAAATTGGTCATTTGAATGCACCTGAGAAGAACAATTTTTATAGGTCAAAACAACCAATTCCTAAATTGGTCAAAAATACCAAAAAACAAAAATGGTTAAATTTACCAATTTATTTGACCAATTTTATTTGGTTGTTTTTACCATTAAACAAGCATTTTTTTCAGGTGCATATCCATGACCATTTGACCAATATAGAGGATCCTTTTAACTAAGCTAAAGAAAATCAATCACACAATTAGAAATAGCACATTTTTTGCAAACACAGAATACTTAAAATCTCTACTACATACCATTAATTAACACTACAAAAGTTTTCTACTTTATAGAAGAAATAAAATGATCGACAAAAGTTGGCAATTGAGCCAAAAATCAGAAAAAGAAATGAAACCTTACTTCAACTCCCTTGGTGTGTTTGAAAAAAGGGTAGTCATGCAGAAGCTTCCAAGCCCTTGTATTGTTCACCAAAATGTCTCTACGCCGATGAGCAAAGGTATTGTTCATCAACACATTGATCTTGCTCATGTCTTGCGAGCCAATATTAAACATTTCAACCAACTGCTTTTGTTGAATTACAATAGCTGCTTCTGTTTCACCTTCTGGAAGAGAATTGCAAGCTGATTTCTTACTTTTCCTACCCGGTTTTCCCTTTGGGCCACCGCATACTTTGCTTTTGAGCTCGGGATGCTCTTCTTTGCATATTAAGGACTCGGTCTGCTATTTTGTTTGCCCATAGTTGCTGGAAAAACAAAACAATGACAGTACTTTATGAAACTGAATTATGCAGCAATATAATTGATTTTTTTAACCTACATGACCAGAACCAAATGATCCCTTTAAGAATGGATACTTTTGAATTAACATAAGAGCAATGTGTTTTCTTTCATGAACAGTTGGCGATTCAGTATGTGCCAAAATTGAAGAAGTTAATTGCCTGTTTAATGCATTTTTTTCATTTGGATTTAGTTCCTGCCTTTTTAATGCCTCCTCCACTGCTGGTTCCCACTACACACAAACAGCATGGTTTAATATGATATGGCAATCTTTATTAACATATATTAAGCTTGTAGTGTGTAAAAAACTAAGTTTTAATGCTACTTACTCTTGTTGGCAAACAAAACTTGGACAACCAATTGGAATTGTTCACATTAGCTGTCAAGGGACTCCTTGGAACATTGTCCTTGCCATGTCTCTCTGGTCGAATGCTCTTAAAAAATAGTAAAATTCAACCTTAACATACAACATAAAGAAGTAAAGAAATAACGCAGCAAAATATTTATGAACTTACATACATTGTATATTTATGAACTAGCATTAGAACAAATATTGTATACAAATAATGGCTTCAGCCTTCATACTTCATCATTTTGATGATCAGCTGAAGTACTAAGAACAATGTCTTCATTTACATCCAAGTTGATGGTTCTTATGTGCCTTGAATAGATGTGGGAGTGCACTGTTCAAGCTGATTCTGACAAGCCCTGTTAATAGAGGATTGAATCATAAATTCTACATACAGTGACTCTTCATCAAACATAATACAACATAACTAAAGCATAAACAAACAAAACAATATATAGCAAGCAGACTAAATGCTTTTAAGCTATTTCATGCAAAATGGGAGCAATGGTTCATCTGGATCCACACAATTACAAGACAAACAAGTCAAGCTGGGTTGCTTGATACCTCATCATGATTTTCTTGATGATCAGCTGAATTACTTGGAATGTCTGGATTCACATCCTTGTTGATAGTTCTGATGTTGTTGGAAGTGACACAAGAGTGTGTTGTTGAAGCTTATGACCCCTGTTAATAGATGAAGCCTGAAATTTTACTTCTGGTGATTTTATAACGACACAATCAAAGCACATGGCAGTAAAAAATATAATCAACAAACCAATAACAAACCAAGTATTTTGAAATATTTTATGTAGAAAACCTGTAAGGCTTCAATTTACCTTTTGAGTGACGTCATTCCAAATACACGTAAACTTCTTGTGAAGTTTTATTCGAGGAATCATCTGATATATATCATTTGGTTCTAAATTGAAAAAATCCTCGCCGTCGACTTGATTAGCTTTAAAAATATAAGAAGCAAAACGTCAATGAAATTACGTTATTGCTGTTGGTATTCTCTAAAAGCGCTCGACAAAATCTGCCTGCTAGCAAAACGTAAACAAGGCAAGTCATCTATAAATCTAATTTTGAATTATTTTCTACACTAGATTTATGCACGAGACAACAACCCTCACACATGCGACCTACATTTCAGGATGAGACAATACCTTTAAAATCTTCGACAATTTCATCCAATTTGTTGTTTTTCAAAAAAAGAATAATGCCAGCGACGGATGATTGTTTGTTGATTTCCATTTTGCCCACAATACAAGAGTTTAAACGCTTAAATGCACTTCAACAAAGCACAAGAAGTTTAGAAACACGCCACGCGACTACATACATCGGCAACAGGCAGTCAGGCACGTGCCGCTTTGCGTAATGGGATGTCAAGTGGCCAAATCGACCAATCGCCGCAAGTTCGCAACTAATTGGACAAAGAAATGCACTTAATGACACTTAATATTGATCTGATTTTACTCATTCATTGCTCTAACAAACGGTAACGGTGTTGTCACTTGACTAGTGACGCGAGAATATTCGTAAAAGTTCAATTAATTATGCCACGATTGTGTTGTCAGGTATGTGCAACGTTTTTTCAACGTCTGTCGCTGGAATGTTGCATCATTTGGTCGCTGTTCATAAACACGATGCCAGATTGCATATTTCTGCGAAGTGCCGGAATGTAATTCAACCTTCGCTAAGGTAAGCTTTTGATTCTTGATACGACACTGCATTGTTTGTTATTTATTAAAAATATTTACTTATTCAGTGCGTTCACGGATTTGTTGTTTAGTTTAACTCTTACAAAAGTCATCTTAGAAGAAAGCACGCCAATGTTGACTTAAACTTACGTGATCTGTGTTGCGTTGAATCAGCGAGTAGCACTCACAACAATTTTTGTCCTGATGAGGATGGACTTGAACTCTTAATTGATGAATTCAACAGGGAAAATGAACTTGATGACTCTGTTCAAGCAATGGAACACAAAAAGGCCCAATTTCTTCTAAAAACAAAAGAAATCAATCTGCTCACACAAAAATGTGTGGATAACATTGTAGAAGAATCCACTGAACTTGTCCAAGGAACAGTCAAAGCAATTAAACAAGGTTTGCAAAATTGCTTAGAGAAAGCTGGATTAAATTATAATGATGTGTCAGGTCTTGATGAATTATTTGATGAAGGACATGCTATCTCAAATCCATTCAAACATATTTCTACAATGTATAAACAGAATGCTTATTTTGAGGAGCATTTTGGCTTAGTTGTAACTTTTATTTCTATGTTTTTGACTGTTTTTAGAATGTTAAGAGTTTTTGGATAAAGTTTTTTAAGATTTTTAACAGATTTGAGCCAGCTGCTCTTTAGTGCTTGTTATGCATAATCATTATTTTAATTGTAGCAACTCAGACGAATTAAACTTGGACACAGAGTTGTGAAAAGACGTTCAAGGACTGTGTACAAAGAGGTTATTAAAGATAATGAAATCATGTACATACCACTGCTTAAATCCTTGGAAAAAATGCTCAATGTAAAAGGAGTACTTGAACAGGTCAGATTGTTAATAGCATGGTTGTGTTTTTTTTGTTGGCAAGTTTATCAAACTATGACAACTACATCTTTGCAAGTACCCATATCAATAACAGGGTTGCAAAATATTAATACATGTTCTATGTATAACCATCAAAGGAACTTTATGTGTGTTTTACTGTGTTAGTTTCCATGAAAGCAAAAACAATGATGACATGCATTTATTAAAGCACATTTCCAAAAATATATTCCAATTATTTCATGAAAATATGAAAATAGCCTGATTTTAATTTGAAATGTCTGATGGTAGGAAGGCACCCATCTTACCACCAGACTATTCCATTGCTGGTTAATAATAAATTTAATTTATTAATAAATTTAATATTTTCATTCTTCGATTTCAATTTCAGCTAAACCATGGTCATCTTCGGCAACATAAACATGATGATGTGATTGAGGATGTTTGCGATGGCCAGTATTTCAAAACCCATCCTCTGTTTTCCAAGGACTCAACTGCTTTACAAATCATGCTTTACTATGATGAGTTGGAAATTGCAAATGCCCTTGGTAGTAAAACTGGAAAGCATAAGTTAGGTAATAGTTTAATGACATCATAGTGACTAAATCAGTCACTCAAATGTAAAAAAGTGTATGAGCAATGAAAGGCTGTAAGAAGCTTTTATTACATCATATGCCATTATTTCTGTATGACAGGAGTTGTTTACTACACAACTGGAAATATTGATCCTCGATATCGATCCCAGTGTGATAACATTCACCTACTCATTATGGCTACAGTTCCAATTATCAAGAAATATGGCATTGACATTCTTTTGGAGCCTTTCATGACTGACCTTGAATACCTTGAACAAGTAAGTGATCCTATTTATTGTTTCTTAGCTTATTACCTGTTATTGATAATTGTGCAGAGTAAGTAGTTTGATAGAAATTGCTTAAAGTTAACTGTCACACTTCTTTTTTGAGGATGGTGGTCACCAGTTCATTGTTATAGGTGAACCTATGTCATTTTCTGGGACTATTGTGTTGGTTTCTGGAGACAATCTTGGATCACAACTCATGGGTCGATTCAAAGAAGGTCCAGGTGCACATTTGAAATGCCGGCAATGCATGGGGACCACTGAACAAATAAAGCAGAAGGTATGTATGTTTATGATAATACATTATTAACCTGTATCAACATAGATTAAATGTTTTATTATGTTTTTTAGCAGACCAGGAACATACACTTTAAAGTAAGTCTTTCAGTTTTTAGACAAACATTTTACACTTCGAACTTGTGCTGGTCATGACCGCCAACATGAAATGATTGAAGAAAACCCAGAACTGAGTAAAGAATATGGGCTTTGCAGAAGATCAATTCTTCACAACTCTAGGTATTTTCATGTAGCAGATGGCATGCCAGGTGATGCAATGCATGATATACTAGAAGGAGTACTTCAGTATGTATGTAAAGAATTGCTGAAGGACTTCATATTTAAAGAAAAATTTTTAACAGTGGAGCAACTTAATGAAAGAATTAATTCTTCATTATGGATATTTTAATGATAAAAACAAGCCATCACCAATCACCCGGACAACTTTGAGGAGTGAAAACAATAGTTTAAAGCAAAAAGGTAGGGTGTAGTGATTGTCACGAGCATTAATACCATCACCCTTGATTTAAATGATTGGTTTTTCTTTTTATAGCAAGACAAATGTGGTGCCTTTGAAAATTCCTTCTTTTAGCTCTCGGCAGTGCCATTTCTCAGGATGAAGAAAAGTGGATGCATTTTCTGTTGCTCCTTAAAATTGTTGACATTGTTTTTTCACCAATCACAAACACTGATGAACTTGCCATCCTGGAAGGATACCTGAAGGAATTTTTGTGGAAATTCACCCAGCTTTATCCTGGGCTTTCAATTATACCCAAGATCCATTACTTGGTTCATTACCCAGCTCATATTACAGGTATGATTTTGCTGGTTTGTATCTTAGTTTATAAATAAAAATATGGTATGTAACTCAAAATGCATGTAAAAATTACATCATAGGTTTCCCTCTAGCTAACACGAGTCCTTGATTTTTTCAAATTTGGGCCAATGATTCGGAGCTGGTGCATGCGATATGAAGCAAAGCACAGTTACTTTAAAAGATTGGCTTCATACCTTAGAAACTTCACTAATGTTGCACTTAGCCTTGCTGAATGACATCAAACCAGAAGTTGCTATCTAAGAAATCAACCCATTGCAAAAAAGCCTCAAATTGGTAGGATTTTTTTGAATAGATTGATTTTAATTCTAAAAACAAAGAGGTCAATTTTTAGTAACCTCTCTAGTAAGATGATAAATTGAGGTTTGTTTGTTTCTCTTTAGATTCTGCAAAAGAAATTGTTGCTAAGGATAGTGAACATTATTATTTGCTCAAAGAGAAGGAACCTAACTTAAGTGACATTAGTATTTTGTCAAGGTAAAGTACACATAGTGATTATTTTTATTACAGAAGATGGTGACTATTGCGAGAAAAAATTGCTAGTACTTTATAAAATGAAACCATGGCTGAAATCTGACTCTTAGACAATTTTAAATCCAACCCAGATCCATTATGCGCTTAATTTGCGTCTTAGTAAGCATAAGCATGTCAGGGCCGTCAAGGTCTTTTTTGGTAAGTCGTATAGTCAGTGCGGTTCCTTCTCTGACTGCCTTTGCCAGGTTATTTTTCTGAGCCGTTGAAAGTGTAACACCGTGAACTGTGTAGTTATTACGTCCACCACCTTTAGCAGCTGCGCCACTTTTCCTAACTACACCACTACCAGCAACTGCTTTTTGCGTGCTGCCGGTGATAGCACCTGATATAGCTGCTAGGCCTAGGGACTGTAACACTTTTGGTATGAGTTTAGTGACCGTAGGTATGAGTTTTCCAATAGGATTTCCAATAAAGCTACTTCCTTCTATACTCTTTACCCAGGAAGATAAATACCAGCGCCTTTAAATTCTTGAGTGATTCCTCGCTCCATGGCGGGTCTGAGAGCTTCAACAAATATTGCGTTATTAATGTCCGACATTTTTGTGCACATGCAAAACAATTTGCGTATATAAACAGTCGAAAATTTTTTTGTTTTTTTAATCTTATAAATTATTTTTAAATAATAACATATCACATCAGACAAACAGTCTAAACGATTATGTCCATTTTACCGTTTATCCCATTAATTCGAATAAATCGTTCGTTAAGCACCAAGCAGAACATGTTATACGCATTGCTGCCACCAGCATTGCGCTACGAAAAGCTTGCTTCAAGGTCCAACGAATTCTAATGTTTGCCTCTTTTTTTTCTCAAAACATCCGCATGATGACTTACATCGAAATGGTAAATAGGAAACAGGCTTGCGAAGTGTCCTAAGCTTACTTGAGAGCCTGTATCTGGATCGCTGTACTTCATTGCAGCGTCTTGAAACATCATGTAGGCTCTGCTGTAATTGCTGTTAGCAGCTGTGTAACTAACATCAAGCTCTTTTTCAGGATACTTTTGAGTGTTATTGATCTCAACATAAATTCGACTTAAATTAGCATGCTCAAAGACATGTATAGTTTGTTCTTGATTGTTAAAGCGTCCAGCGTCATGGAAAGCCACAAAGATGTGACTTGGTAGCTCTTCACTACTGTTTGTTGTTACAAGCCACGATGCAATGACCTTATAAGGGCCAAATCGTTTTTGGTTATACGACTTTGCTCGAAATACAGCACACGTGTGTATCCAGCGACCAACCTGCTTTCTATCATAGTCTGCACTTCGATTGAAGGCCTGATGTAAGGAACCCAAAGCGAAAGATGATTTATCGTAAATTTTCCAGCCCCAACCCCATTTGCTCTATGAAGTGTGTTTTCAGCAGTGTCGCAAGTAAGGTTCAAAGTAAACTTTACACCTAAGAAAGCCGAGTCAATATCTTTGACGAAGCCCAAGATGTCGGCAAGAGGAAGCATCATGGTGACGTCTTTAGCACCGGCGCAAAGCTGGCGGCGAGCAGCAAACATAATGTTGAAGTTAGCGTTTTCTGTTGCGTTAAGATCTAAGTGAAAGTGTTGGCGATAGAGGGCGCCAGTCACACCAGTAGCATTAGGCACACCAGCAGCTGGAAGCAGCTGAGCGTTGGTTCTGTTCACAAACTTATTAGGATTAGCTGCACCAGTCCCAGTGTCGCGGTACCAGAAAATTCTTGCAGCAGTGCTCCTGGAAGAATCGTCCGATACAGTCACAAGCTGCATGATAGTGTTGGCAATTGGAGCAAACTGATTTACCTCTTCAACAGTCTTTTTGTTAACTTGGAGCTGAACCGTTTGAAACAGGCTCCCGCCACCATTTGCTAGAGCGACGTTGTCGTCGTTATTATAATCAGCGCCAGCGTTTGTTACTACACGACCCCTAACCTCAAGGACGGCTCTGTGAAACCACAGAAGCATGTCATTCTCTTCGGTATTTATATTAACATGTTTCTTGTCGTAATCTTGATCACGGGGAGCAATTTTTGCGTACTGAAGACGCTCAATAGAGTGATCGACAACAGGCTCGTCAAAGAGTCGAAGTGCAGGAGATATGATGTCCGTACTCATTGCTATAGTTTTGTACTTCGTACAGTATACATATATCAAAAATTTTTTGTCTGCTATTATATCATAAATAATCAATTCAGCAGACATTTTTAAGCGTACATCATACCATTACCAGAAACTAAGTTTCTTAGAATACCTAAGTCTCGAGAAGTCAGCTGTTGCTTAGAAAGACTTTCAGCGCGCGATACTAGCGCTTTTCTAGCTTCTGAAGTCCCAACCAGCTCATTAAGTTTAGATCTAGCTTCTTTTGTTAAGGCGCTGCGAACTTTTTTTGCGCGCCTTTTTGCGCTACTAATACCAGCTCCAGCCCCAGCACGAGCCACTGCCACTGTGATTTAGCGTTCACGTAATTTTCACGCAGATCCACGTAATTTTCTAGCCACTCCTATAACGTCCCCTCGGGCAAGATCGGCAACAAGACTGCTTACGTTTTCAGGCGAGAACTGCTCTTTTGCAGTCGATATAACAGCCTCTTTGGCTGCTGTAGCCGTGTCACGAATTGCCTTTTTACCAGCCGCCACAGCCACATTCTTGATTTTTGGAGCAAACTTACCTACGCGAGAGTCTAAGGCTGCAGCTGCGGACTTCCCCGCACTAAATAGCGCACCCTTTGCTTTACCAGTAAGGCCCACGAGATTTCCTATCAATGACCCCCCCGACGAATTTCCGACGCACTATACCACGTCTACTTGCTTCAATTATCATTATTAAGTATATTATACACAGAAAATAAGCTGTTGTCATAACAACAGCTTTGAATCGGAATCCGCTTATGAGCGTGTATAATCACATTTTCGGACGGATGTTTAAAGTGTAAGTTACTTGCTCACCATTTAAATCAATCTCATTTCCAGACTGATGAGTGATGTTCATTTGCACTCGAGTAATAAGGCTAGTTTCTACTACTGTTAAATAGGTCGGTGGACTAGAACTTATTTCCAACAAACGTCCTGGTCCTTGGTTTGGAGTAAATGATTTAATAACATCACTAGAATTCCCGTTTACTAAACTTGAATTAATAAGCGAGCAGTGAATATGGATCTTTTGTACATCTGTAATGTTAATTCGATTCTGACTTAAAGTCTTTCCTCTAGTAATATCACCTTCATCCACAGCAAACCCAAAATAGGGCCTAAGCTGTTATCTGTGTCAAAGGAAACTACAAGATCACCTTTAACAGTAATCTCAGATTTAGATGTGGGAGTATTTACTTAGAGCACAAAGGGTGGATCACGTCTTGCGGTTTTCTTGTAGACGGTAGCTCTTGGTTAGCTGGAGAAGCAGTTTTTCTTGTAGACGGTAGCTCTTGGTTAGCTGGAGAAGCGGTTTTTCTTGTAGACGGGCCGATAGATTTTCCAAGATTTTCAAATTCTACCTCGTTCATAATATACCTACCAGCCTCCAACCGATCAAGTGTATTTGAATTCTCTATAGCCTTCCGAGATGGTTTGTCTTCTGTTAAAAGGAATAGATCATTTAGCCGTTGGGCAAGCTGCTGTTGAGTGTCCTCAACCGCTTGACTGACTTCTTGAAACCCTTCAATTTCTTTGTCTTGTTTTTTGTTAATAGCTTCTGCTACAGATTTTTCAGCATTAACAATTGGTTCAGACGCCCTTTCATAGAATTCTCCTTCGTGCTGTCGAGATACTTTGAAATCAACTTGGCGCCGCTTGAGTTCCGCGCGGTTTTTTACAAGCTCTTGGACTACTTTTTCGCGCTCTTCCATAGATGCAACTGACCTGAACATACTTGAACTTCAATTTAAGATGGATGAAGTGTCTTGTCACACAAACATTAAAATGTCTAACGCAGCTGAAACTTCGGTTCATGAATTTAAATCAACAAACGATCTCTTTCGCCGAGCAGTAGAAGTATACTTACGACAAAATAGAGAGAAAAATTTTGAATACATCCGGCAAAAAAGCACCACGCCCGTAGTGTAAAACATCATAGAGGAAGTGAAAAACAAAAAAACGACTAGAAATTCCAGTGGATGTGTATACTCAAGTTGGTACTTCAGTCACTGGGAAAAGAGTTTCAGATTTGACCAATGTCGCGATGTGTGAAAAAGGTGAAGCAGATTCTTCTACAATCACCATCGAAACCGCTGGATTCTACCGAATATCATTAAGTGGAAAATGTTTTACAAGTGCAGGGGCGCTACGAGTACTTCAAACTCCTAGCAGATTACTTGTCTTAAGTAAAACAAAAACACATCGTATTGATGATATTAACTCTGAATGTAGCTATAGTGATTTTATAGATGTAGACTTACCTGCGGATGCAACATCAGTTGTTCAACAGATGGGAACTGCTAAAGTAATTATCACACTCACTATAGAAAGTATAATACCCGAACATTCAATGGTTGTTTGATGAAGATTTGCTACAGGAAGCGCTAGATGATTCCGAAGGCTTTCCTTCGCTTTTTTGTTCATTATCTAGAACCGAATAAGAACTCTTCACATTTGGCAAAGGGGGTGAGCCAACCTCTGAAGGTGTTGGAGCTTCTTTAGAATCTTTTTCAGACGTTTTAGACATTTTATTTACTGCACTTAGAAACCGATGTGCGTTGTAGTTTATTAACGATGGGTCGCATACGCAGCTTCCCAACCTACAGAATTTGTTTTAACATGTGGTCTTATTTCGACTACATCATTAGGCCTAATAAGTCTGCGCTTACACTGTTCCGGAAGAGGTGTAGGTGAAGCTACATTAGTACGCTTTCTTGATGTAGATGCAAGTGGTTGAAAAGCTTCAAGAAATAAATTCAAAGCTCTTCCACTTATAACACCTTGCTTATATAGCTGTAAAATTTCTCTGACAGTATCCATAATATCACATTAAACTAATCTTAACTCTATATAATATATAAATATTATTAGTCTGATGGGTTTATTTTTCTAATTTTATATAACCCCCTTCTAATAACAATCTAGTATGTAATTAATTAGTTCTAATAGTAAATATGTACGCGAACTGTACAAGATCGAATGGCTGATAACATAAAAATATTCCTAAAGTTTCTACGTAAATTTTGGGATGAAAAACAATATATATTTTATGCAAGTGATAGACGAGGGTATTATCCTATGTGGCAGGATCTTGAGATTGATGTAGGAGCGCAAGATCAACGAATTAATATTCTTGTTATCACAGTTACTGGTGAAGAGGCAACAAGAATACAATATCAAAGTAAACAGAAAACACAAGAAGAAATCATGGCTGTATTACATAGTGTTTATGGTTTGGACATCCCAGATCCTATTGATATTTATTTTTACAGATGGAGATTTGATCCTTTGTTTGCTGGTTGTTATTCAAATAATCCAATAGGATTTAGTGATGAAGATTACAAAGTTCTACAATCAAATGTATCTCGTTTGTATTTCGCTGAAGAAGCTACTGATGAGTTATATAATGGTTATGTACACGGTGCTTATTTTAGTGGTCTTCATCATGCTCAAAAAATCCTTGAACATATTAAAGAAAATGAAAAAAATAAAAAAATTTAATGAAAAAATACACAATGACATTGCTGGCAGTAAGTTTGTCCTGATTTTATATTCTTTGTATGACAAATATGATAGTTAACAAATGATTTGATGATCATTTCGATGTACATTTATAATTGAAAGCCTTTATCTTATTCATCATCATCTTTCTATTTGTTACTTTAAATTACAGTTCAAGCAATTTCACCATGATCTTTTTTCTTATCTCTCCAATTAAAGGATAATGATAAATAGTAGTATAGACTTCCATATATCAATGACAGCCTCAAAGGTTCAAATAAAAACTGTTGTACATAATAAATGTAAAATATGTTATTCCATTTCCATACAAACAATTGTATTTTCTAGTTTTCAACTATCATTTAAATACTGTGGCAGTGATTCTTATTAAGAGACTTGTATGGAATTTCCACAGTGTGTTAATGAGTTTATAGTTCAATCAGGATATTTATTTTTTTTGGGGTTGTGTTTAATTGAGTAAATACTTATCTTAGATGCATTCATAAAAAACTCTGAATTCGCTGAGTAAAGTGTTTTATTTTATAAGAATAAGTTTATATAAGAATTGAAGTTTGTTCAGTTGGTCAGTTAGTGTTACTTCAATCTGTATTTTCTTCCTGATTAAAGTTGTGGATTTAATCAATTCTTGAAACACTGTTAATTTTTCATTACAGTAATCTTATAAATGTATTGTCAATAGTATATTAAATATGACCATTTTAGTTACAACTGTTCTTTTTTGTACCTTTGTGTACAGAAACTGAAAACACAACTTGTCGTTTTTTTCTTCCTTTATCTCGTGAAACGTTTCTCAAATACGAAAGACTTTTAGCTGTTGGCAAATAAAGGATAAATATAGAGGTCAAATGCTTCACTTTCAATTTGTATCGCTCTTTATAAAATTTATTAAGTGGATTTTTCGTGTTTTTCCTATCACAGTAAATTACAACGTGATTGCTTTCTCGTAAAATTATCATGGTCAAGTCCAAATGCTTTTGTTTTAATTTCTATCGCTCGTTTATAAAAATCTTTTGCTTTTTCGTACTCTCTCATATTATCGTAAACCAAACCCAGATTGTTGTACATTGTCGCATTATTAACATGGTCAGGTCCATATGCTTTCGTTTTAATTTCTATCGCTCGTTCATAAAAATCTTTTGCTTTTTCGTACTCTCCCATGTTATTGTAAACCGAACCTAGATTGTTGTACGTTGTCGCAATAGTAACATGGTCAGGTCCAAATGTTTTCGTTTCAATTTCTATCGCTCGTTCATAAAAATCTTTTGCTTTTTCGTACTCTTCCATACTATAGTAAACCGAACCCAGATTGTTGTACATTGTCGCAATATTAACATGGTCAGGTCCAAATGTTTTCGTTTGAATTTCTATCGCTCGTTCATAAAAATCTTTTGCTTTTTCGTACTCTCCCATATTATTGTAATACGAACCCAGATTGTTGTACCTTATTGCAATATTAACATGGTCAGGTCCAAATGCTTTTGTTTGAATTTCTATAGCTCGTTCATAAAATTCTTTTGCTTTTTCGTACTCTCCCATTTTACTGTAAACCGAACCCAGATTGCTGTACCTTATCGCAATATTAACATGGTCAGGTCCAAATGCTTTCGTTTCAATTTCTATCGCTCGTTCATAAAAATCTTTTGCTTTTTCGTACTCTCCCATTTTACTGTAAACCGAACCCAGATTGTTGTACCTTATTGCAATATTAACATGGTCAGGTCCAAATGCTTTCGTTTCAATTTCTATCGCTCGTTCATAAAAATCTTTTGCTTTTTCGTACTCTCCCATTTTACTGTAAACCGTACCCAGATTGCTGTACCTTATTGCAATATTAGCATGGTCAGGTCCAAATGCTTTCGTTTCAATTTCTATCGCTCGTTCATAAAAATCTTTGGCTTTTTCGTGCTTTCCCATATCTGTGTAAACACAACCGAGATAGTTGTATGTTGTCGCAAAATTAACATGGTCAGGTCCAAATGTTTTTGTTTGAATTTCTATCGCTCGTTCATGAAAATCTTTTGCTTTCTCGTATGGTCCCATATCTCTGTAAATTGAACCCAGATGGTTGTACGTTGTCGCAATGTTAACATGATCAGGTCCAAATGCTTTAGTTTCTATTTTCATCGCTCGTTCATAAAAGTCTTTTGCTTTTTCGTACTCTCCCATTTTACTGTAAACCAAACCCAGATTGTTGTACATTGTCGCAAAATTGACATGGTCAGGTCCAAATGCTTTTGTTTGAATTTCTATCGCTCGTTCATGAAAATCTTTTGCTGTTGCGTACTTTCCCATATGTTCGTAAACCGAACCGAGATTGCTGTACGTTGTCGCAATATTAACATGGTCAGGTCCAAATGCTATTCTTTGAATTTCTTTGGCTCGTTCATAAAAATCTTTTGCTTTTCTGTATTCTCCCATATCTCTGTAAACTGAACCCAGATTGTTGTACGTTGTCGCAATATTAACATGGTCAGGTCCAAGTGTTTTTGCTTGAATACCCATTGCTCGCTCGAGAAAACCTTTAGCATTTTTATATTCTCCATTCTTCCGAAGCAACTCACCCAGCTCGTTGTACGAATATGAAACATCAATATGATTAACACCTAACACTTTAGTTTGAATTTCTGTTATTTCATAAAGAACTTCAGTTGCAAGTTTATAGTTGCAAAATCTTACCAAAACATTAACAAAATATTTGGCGAATTTCCAATTGTTTTCATCAAGTTTTTGTTTTGATGATTTTATATCGATCAACTTATTTAGGAAATGTTGAAATGATGAGTTTTTTATGAATTTATTTAGATGTGGAATTATTTTGATTTCATCTTCTTTGCCTTCAAAATGATTTAGTGCCCAAGCAACTTGACAGGCAAGATCAGCTGCGGACTTTTTAGAATTATTTTCGTTTTGTTTACAGCCAAAGGTCTGCGATGAATAATTTACGATGGCTTCATGTACAACGCTGTGCAGGCGGATGTCGTTGTTTTCCGTTTGAAGGAATAAAGAACAATGCTTTAATTGAAGACAGACATCTTCTGCAGATTTTTGTGCATCAATGCTTTTAATAAATTGTATTATAATATCTTGTGGTAATGGATCGAAAGATATTATTGAGAAAAATTTAAAAACATGTTCCAACAAGATGGATTCTTTGGCATTTTTTTGTACTGCTAACATAACAGTTTTCATTCCTAAGTAAGATGTGTTTATTTTTTGAAAATTGGCATCCATGTTCTGTCGCTCTCTTTCATTCAACTTATCAAAATATTTCTCCCACGTGAATGTCGGATTTACACTTTTTACTCTACCTACGTAGGAAGCAGCATTTGCCAGGAACAACGGTTGACGATCTAATTTGTCTGATAAATCCTTTAAAAATTTTTCATCTTTATTATGAATATCAGAAAAGACAGATAGAAGTTGTCGACATTCTTCATTGTTCATACCATGACTAACTGAAATGTGTTTATTTAGATTTCCATCTGGTGGTATAGCATCTGTATTTTGAACAGTTACTATAATTTGACCATTTTTCCAATTATGATCACCAACTTGAGGTAATAATGGATAAATTTTATGAAGTTCAACCACGTTATCTACAACAATCCACCATGTTTGCCAAGATTTCAGTTGCTGTGTCAGCAATAATTGAAAATCTTTAATTTTGTCTCCGCTGCTTTTTGCTTCTTTCCGAATATTTTCAATGACAGTTTTATCATTGTTTAATCTTTGACAAAGTTCAGCATAAGTTTTCAAAAGAGAGTCGATATCTTTTCCTTCGAGTGTCATCACAAATATTGTATTCTTTTCCCAGTTAAACGAGTTATACATTTCTTCACAAACTTGTCTGGCTAATTGAGATTTACCACTGCCAGGATTACCAGAAATATAGTAATATGTTAGTTCATTATTGTTAGTACTGCGCAAGTTATTGAGATCGGCTGTGATTTGATTTAGTAACTCGGTACGTTTAACCACATCGTGATTCGGTTTGCAAGGAAGTACTTGAAAAGATATAAAACTGTTTCGTTCACTTTTTATTTCTTTGATTTCATCAAATGAAAATCCTAGATCTTGAAACGTGTTTTCAATATTACAAACCATTGTATGAAATTTGTCATCAGAAACTTTTCCTTTATTTTCATGAATGAATTTGTTTCTAAAAAGACGAAGTTCATTCACAGAATCTCTAAGTTTTGGATCAATTTTTGTTCCAATTGCTTTGGAATGCAATATCGCTGCAAATAACGTCGTACAATCCCACTTACTAGTGTCGCCATTTTGAAAATTTGACAGAATATGTTTTTCAGGAGGTCTCTTTTTTGAAATTTCAATTTTGAACAACTCCTGACCACTAACGTTTGTATTTTCCCATTCTCCGAGAGATTCTTTGTAATGAGTGTTCCATTCTTGGATAAATAAATGAACAAGCTTCTTTGCAACATCTGTAAGTATTTTCTCAAGGTAAAAGTTATTAATTTCTTCTCTTGACTGCATCTAAAGGTCATAAAATTATTAATATCAACAGAAATTGGTTCCTTAATTTGAGTTTATATCAAACATAGCTACGTAATGTTACAGTTTTACTTGTTCGTGTGAATGAATATCGAGGATGGCTGCTGAAAACAACGCAATTGGATATTTTAGTTTTCCTGCATTTAGACATTTGGCTACATTTTGGCAGTGGCGTCGCCAGGATTTTGCAAGTGGGGGGGGGGAATTTGTACCACGTCCGTCGCTGGCGAAATGGACCTAAAAATTGCTTCTACACAAGAAAATTTTTGAAATGTTTATCACAACATGAATGGTTTCAATTTTTTAACTTCCCAGTTTAACTTTGGCGGATTTGTACATTCTTCGTGTTATAACGTTACGTAGATTGATTATTGATTTTAATAAAATGTTTTCATATTATAATACTCCCAGAATTGCAATATTTTCACGAGTCTTCCTCTTAGTCATTGCTATATTTGTATTTTTGTGTCTACAAGTTTGAGTCTACGAGTATACTTGTCCACGATCTCATACAAGTTCTATGATATGGTGTAATGTTGTTCATGACATGCATCACAATATTACTTGTTCTTCATTGTCTACTAAAGACTTGAATTATTCTAGAATTATTGTTTTTTTTTTATGAAATTAAAATCTTCACAACTTGGCCAGCAACCCAGAAAGGGTAAATACAACGCAAACTATTCTGCACAGCTAATAGAATGCTTTCCTTTAAAGTAAAGTTGTGCGAATTTCTTAAGAGCTAAATTAATGCCATGTGCTTCTTTTTAATTTCGAATGATGCATATGAAGACTATTATCTAAAATTCTAATGGGGGCACTTGTGGGAGAGGGGCACAACTGATTTTTAGAGGGGTGCGTGCCCCCTGTCCAGTGCCCCTTTCCAGACCCTCCTTTAGTGACGCCACTGCATAATGGAATATAAATGGGGTACTGAGTTATATTATCACTTAAGAAGGTGTTTAACAATTTGTCTAACTGACACACCAAGTTTTTGCAGGCAGTCTACTTGAATACAATGACTACTTAGTCAGCTGTACAATAGAAATATATATGAAGCAGAGTGTTCCGTAATTTAGTGTTCTTTGCATTTAAAAAAGATTCCTATTTCTAATAAAAGATCTCATTTTTTGTGAAGAGAACCATGAGAATTAATTGTGAGGAGAATCATGAGAAATTTTTCAAGTATTCTTCCTTTTAAATGAAAAAATCATGTTAAGTATAGGACAAATCATGTAAGTCATTTTTTATAGAAAAAAATTCATTCTAGTTTTGTAGAATGCAGATTGAGACTGTGTCGAGGCGAACATTACAAAACAAATTAATTACACACTCTAAAATATTGTGGTAAATTCTGGTATTACCATTTTATATAGTATTCTGCATGTAATCGACCTGCAAGTTTCATGTAAATGCCATAAAATGTACAATTTACTTATTGTGTTTCTTTGCATGCATTTAAAGTTTCTTAAAACATTCCTAACACTTGAAATGTTTTGAAAACTCTAGAAAATGAGAAAAAAGCTCAAAAAATTTGTCTTACATTTTGTTGAGCCACAGAAATATGTTAAGGAAATAGTATGTGCGTAGTTTAGTTTACCAATGTATCCGTTCCCACACGGCTAAGAGCCAAGGAACAGTTATTGACGTTAGTTAAATTTCCTTATGTACTATGTATAGCTTAAATAGAGGAACTATTCCGACCAATAATAATATTTGTTATTTGTAATAAAGACTATAAATACTGCTCTGTAAAATAATAAAAATCAGTTCGATCATTAAGTTCACTCGTGGTTGTTACTGAAGGTATAGAGTATATTACGAAAAAGATATGGCGAGTAACTCGAACTCAACAGGTTATGGACCCAGGATATGGTTTTCGATGGAAGTAAAAGCAAATACGAGTTATGGGAAGTAAAATTCTTGGGCTTTATGCGTCTTCAAAAATTTTACAACGTACTTATCGAATCAGTAAGTGAGAGAGAAGAACCAGCAGCTTCAAAACTGGCTATCGATTTTGCATAGTTGGTGCAATGTTTGGACGACAGTAGTTTGTCTTTTGTGATTCGGGAGGCAAAAGACAATGGACGAAGAGCTTTAGAAATCCTCAGACTTCACTACAAAGGCAGAGGAAAGCCTCGCATCGTCGCTGTCTACACGGAACTCACTTCACGGAAGAAAAGTGACGACGAGACTGTTACAGATTATATATTGCGAGCGCAACGATCGGCAACAGCCTTAAGAGAAGCCGTGGAGATAATAAGTGATACACTACTCATTGCAATGGTTGTAAAGGGTCTGCCAAGCACGAAACGAAAGATTGCCGAAAGACGAAAGAAACGTCCAAGTCAGCTAAAGACGAGAAGCGCTGTGACAGTGAACGGAAACACGTCTTTTTATTCGTGTCAAAGGATGAAGAAAAGAGCGCTGAAGCAGACGTGAAGGATAAGGATCATTTAATTCGAGGTTGAACAAAACTCCGTTCAAAGCGTTTACAGGCTCAAAACCAGACTTGAACAAAATGCACGTTTTTCATTGTGTTTGTTATGGTTATTCACAAAATTCCAAAAGTTAGACTCTAGAAGGAAAGAAGGTATTTTCGTAGGGTATGATAAAAATAGTCCAGCATATCTACTATGCTACCCTTACATTGCCAAGGTAGAGCGTGTAAGGTGCGTTAAGTTCTTCAGGGAGGGTAGCAGGGAACTGCCAGAACTAGACGATTAACAACTTGCACCTCAGATAGCAAAATTGCATGAAAGAAACCCCAAAACAACTAACGAAGACATTTGTACTCCAGAGACCTCTAGAGAATCAAAAATACCCCACTAGGATAAAACGTAAGCCGAAATATCTTGACGAGTATGTGACAGAAGAAGTTTCAGGGGAGGATACTGTCTCATATACCGTAGATTATTGCTATAGAGTATCCAACATCCAACAACATATTCCCAAGCAATAAGCTCCAATGAAAAAGTAAAATGGCAAAAAGCCATGAATGATGAAATGAAAGCGTTAATTGACAATGATACGTTTGAACTTGTTCCACCCTCAACAAATAGAGACATAGTGGGGGGAAATGGGTATACACCGTAAAAATAGGGCAACATGAAGAAGAGACCCATAAAGCCCGTTATGTAGCAAAACGATACTCGCAGACTCCCCGTATTGTCTAAAACGAAACCTTTTCGCCAACTGCAGGAATGAGTTCTATCCGTTAATGCTTCAACACGCTGTTCAAAACAACATGTTATTGCATCAGATGGATGTAAAAACAGCTTATCTTAACGCCCCTATAGACTGCGAAATTTTTATGCATCAACCCGAAGTATATGAGGAAGTAGATAAAAATGGAGAAAATTAGTATAGAGGTTGAAAAAATCTTTGTATGGATTAAAACAAAGTGGCAGGAATTGGAATAACGTATTGCATGAAAACTTAATCGGGAAAACTTTCAAACAATCACTAGTCGACCCATGCGTTTACACGAGATTTAAAGGAAAAGATGTTACTATTCTAATAGTATGGGTAGATGATATTATCATAGTTGCTAACAATGACACATCAATGTAGAGTGTCAAGAAATCTTAAGCGACCGTTTTAAGATGAAGGATTTAGGAATATGGTCCTGGTTCTTAGGGACTGAATTGAAATGCTCAGAAACTTAAATAACAATTAGTCAAAGGCAAAATATTATTAAGTTACTAACAAAATTTGGCATGTCGGAGTGTAAACCCAAACTCACTCCATCATCTTCCGATACAAGTAAAATGTCGCATGATATATCGCCTTAGTTAGAAGATCCGAGTCTTTACTGACAAATTGTCGGTAGTCTTATACATGTTGTGACAGGAACTAGACCTGATCTGTGATTTATTGTAACAAAGCTGTCTCAAAAGATGGCAAAACCGACACAAGCAAACCTAATTGAGAGAAAGCATGTTCTTAGATACTTAAAGGATACAATAGATGAGACAATTACATTTAAAAAATGTGAAAATGTTTTAAAATTGTTTGGTTTTTCTGATTCTGATTGGGCTGGCGATGCGGGTGACAGGCGTAGTATTTCAGGTTACGGTTTCAGGTCGAGTGAGAACGGTGGTTTGGTTTCTTGGAGGAGTAAGAAGCAATCTACAGTTGCTTTGTCAACTTGTAAGGCCAAGTATATGGCATTGACTGAAGCTATTCAGGAAGAAAAATTTTTGAAACAGTTGTGTGTTGATTTGCGTATTTCTAAGGAAGGCGAGTGTGTTTTGTTGAATGTTGACAATCAGGGCGCAATTAACATAGCAAAGAACCCTATGTACCACAAAAGTTCTAAACACATAGATATTAGATATAACTTTATCAGAAGTGAAATAAGGGCTGGTAAAAAAGAAATTATGTATGTAGCAACACATGAAAATGTGGCTGATATATTTACGAAAGCTGTAAGTAAGATTAAACTAAGTAGATTCAAAACATTTACAACTGGTAAATAGGTATTAATTTGTTAATTTAGTTAATGAGCAAGTGGGGGTGTTGAGTCATGCTCATAAACCACAGAAACATGTTAAAGAAATAGTATGTGCGTAGTTTGGTTTACCTATGTATCCGTTCCCACACGGCTAAGAGCCAAGGAACAGTTATTGACGTTAGTTAAATTTCCTTATGTACAATGTATAGCTTAAATAGAGGAACTATACTGACCAATAATAATATTTGTTACTTGTAATAAAGATTATAAATACTGCTCTGTAAAATAACAAAAATCAGTTCGATCATTAAGTTCACTCGTAGTTGTTACTGAGGCAATAAAAACTAAAAAGACGTCTACTAAATTAGGTTATATGAGAGAGATGGAGCATGAAAGAAAAGGCTTAAGTAAAGGACGTTAGCTCACCTGCAATCTACATACTTAAGTAAAGGACGTTAGCTCACCTGCAATCTACATACTTAAGTAAAGGACGTTAGCTCACCTGCAATCTACATACTTAAGTAAAGGACGTTAGCTCACCTACAATCTACGTACTTAAGTAAAGGACGTTAGCTCACCTGCAATCTACGTACTTAAGTAAAGGACGTTAGCTCACCTACAATCTACGTACTTAAGTAAAGGACGTTAGCTCACCTACAATCTACATACTTAAGTAAAGGACGTTAGCTCACCTACAATCTACGTACTTAAGTAAAGGACGTTAGCTCACCTCTAATCTACGTACACTCCCGTGCACACAGATTAAATTTAGCAATCGACAAATCACTCTCAGATGTTGAACCATTCCAAAAAAGTACACTTCAATCTATTTACACTTTTTTTAAAGAAAGCAACCAGTCACATACCGTTTTTGGTGATGGAATTTGTAACAGCAAACCAAAGCTCACACTTCAATCCTAATGTGAACCAGGTGTTTGTGTCGTTACAAAGCCATCAATGCAGTTACTCGACAAGTAAAGATTATTAACAAAGCGTTGGTTTAATTAACAAAACATAAGGATCCAAAAACATCACCGCAAGCGAATTTATAACTAGATTCTGCTTTGTTTTTTTAAAAATAAAATTGTGAAATATCATAAATATACATATTTATAAAGTAACAGTATGGATGTTATCAGTGCTTGTAAACAGCACACAGAAACTTTTTTGCTCTTCAATGTTGTCAGAACGACAAAAACTTTTACAGTGTGTGGCAAATAGCAGGAAACAAAATGTTATGAGAGACACGAAATTTTTCCTTCAAATATGCAACTGAACCAAGAATTTATAATGATCACAGTATCACAGATATTGCTTATCATGCATCGAGCAAACACTTAATTTGTTGTTTTAGTGGACAAAGATAACTTTTTACCGTTGGTGACGTAGTGTTATATGACAACCCAGCAGAATTTTTCCCAAACAATTTTTACCTAAGTTTACATTTTTTTTGACTTTCCATAATGTATGAATCATGAGTGTAAATGCACACACCAACCAAACAGAAAAAGAAACTCCTTAAACTAAGAACGACAACGACCAATTTTGCTTAAGAATCATCAATTTTGTGTCAATACTTATGAATTTTACGTTGACGTCAAATAAAATTTATTAAAGTTAATTGTTTTCAGTTGATCATGCATAAGATGCTCTGCAAGAGATTCAAATAAGAAGTAAAAAAAATGTTGTCCTTCTTCATAAAAGCCATGTAAGATAAAATTAAAATCATTCCGCATTTATGATATGCATAACTGAAATTCTGTGACGTGTTATTATTTTGACACATCCTGTTAATTTTTTAGACCTGTTGTATGAATAATAATTGAAATGAACCATCGGAATATTTGGTTAATTACATCGTATTGCTAGCGATGATGCTGGAATATTCAGTGTTTCCCAACGTTAAATTATCTAAAATTTATTTGTGATTGTTTAAAAAAACCCATCAAAATCAACAAATGTTATTCCTGTCAAAAATGCCTTTCAACAAAGACAGAGAAAGAACACAAAATTAGTGATCATGCAAATTCGTAGCAACAAATTGTTCCATAGTTATCTAACGCGAAATTTGCAAAATATAAAGATCTAGATATTAAACTTCACACTCTCTTTCAATGTAAATATTCTGGTCCTATATTCACTATATTATTAATGGTTGTACGTTGACATATAATCTAAATTGATCAAAGATCTTTAAAATCTTGTTGACTGTTTTTGGTTGACGATTCAGAATATGTTTAACAAAAGATTTGTAAATTGTATAAGACGTAACAAATTAATGAAAAAAGTAAAATGTTGTACACGTCTTGATAAAAGCCATGTTAGAAAAAGTAAAAATATTGCACATGATGATATACACAACTGAAACTCATAATTTTGATTCATCTTGTTGATTTTTTAGCCGTGCCGTACCAATGATGATTGAAAAGACTAGTATAAAAAATAAAAATTTTATATGTGCACTAAAATTTTAAGTACCATGTAAAAACTAAGTACACGACTAAGAAACACAACACGTTTCTTTGACTTGAAAAAATTTTTTAACATTAACTCAAACTGTCAATGATTCATTTAAATCTTTACAATCTTACAAACGCAAAGAATATTTGCCAATATATTTTTAACTTTTTTTGATAACAAGTTCAGGTGAATGTGATATTTGATACTCGTGTTAGGAGAGACTCTCTCTTTGATTGAAGTGTGAAGTGTTATGTGTGAAGTGTGAGATTTAGATAAAAACTAATAAAAGAATAAAAACGGTTTTATTACTTCTTCAAAACAAAAAAATTGATACATGGACACAAAGCATTAAATCAGAAGGTTAAAATACACCATTACATAAAGAGAGTAAACTTTAAAATCAACATACCTGCACAAATTCTGAAAGATTAAAAACGACGCAACCAACTACATGATGTGTTTGCTTCTGCTTGATAATAAAGAAATCAGAATGTTAAATAAATGCTTGATTTTAATCACCTGCTGTTTTTATTGTAAAATATTGAATTCTGGTCATACCCAATTAAATATGAAATGCAAATTTCTTATTTTAGCTATTACTGAAGTAAAAACAAAGAAGTTTTGTCTTGGAAGCTTTATCTCAATAAACCTTTCATAGTTTACTACAATATATTTCAATTATTGAGCGTCCTGACTTACATGCAAACTGACTGAAGTAATCATAAAGGAAGACGGAGCAGCCAGCCTTTTACAAGTAAGATAGCTCAAAAATTAAAGATTTATAATTTAGGAATTTAAGAAAATCGATAAACAGGGCTACTCTGATATTGTCAGCGTTCCAACTTTGAAACGAGATCAATGAAGTTTTGTCATTTGGCAAACTTTTGATCCGGATAACCAAATACTTTGATCAGGGGCGTGAGAAGCAAGTAAAAGTTAGAGGGCTCAAGATTTTAGGGGCATTCTTTACTTAAAAAAGGGAATTTCAAAGTAATTACTCTCGAAGTGTCTAGTTTTGAATAAATTTGTTACATCTCAGTAATCAGAGATACTTCAAAATTGATAGCGTTTTAACTTGAGACTTCATCATGCAAAGTTTTGTCATTTTGTGAACTTTTGACGCGATCAAATATTTTAAATAGTCTATCTTACAACAAGTTGAACAATTATAGACCACAAAAAAATCACTTGTACTATCACGTGAAGAAATGAGCTTTTTAATCCAAGTTGGTGCAGTTTCAAAAGACATACCTAGCAAAACGTTTTTATGTCATCATCTGTGTTAGCAATAGATAAATATGTAGATGACTGTATGAATGAGGAAAAAATTCTTCTTGATAAAATCCATGTTACATAAAATTTGAAATATTGCACATAATGATATGCATAAGTGAACTTCTGTGACTGTCATTATTTTGACACATCCTGTTGATTTTTCAGACCTGTTGTATGAATAATATTTGAAATGAACCATTGGAATATTTGATTAACTATATCGTATTGCTAGCGAGGATGCTGGAAAGTTCAGTGTTTCCAACGTTAAATTATCTAAAATTTCTTTGTAATTGTCTAAAAAAAAACCATCATTATCAACAAATGTTATTCATATCAAAAATGCCTTTCAACAAAGAGACAGAAACAATACAAAAATAGTGATCATGCAAATCTGTAGCAACTAATTGTTCCATAGATATCTAACGAAAAATTTGCGAAATATAAACATTTAGACAATAAATTTCATACTTTCTTTCGATGTGAATGTTCCATTCCTATATTGTATAAAATGCTGTACACTTCTTGATAAAAGCCATGTTAGAAAAAGTAAAATTATTGCGGATAATGACATGCATGTCTAACATTCTTTGACGTGTCATTATTTTGACTCAACACGTTTATTTATTAACTTTGCTGTATTAATATAATTTAAAATAAACGATTGGAATAAATTGTATTGATGTGAGAAAAGTCGTATTTTCCACGTGCAATGTATCCAAAATTTATCTCTGTTTTAACATCCCACCAAAATGAATAAAATTTATCCATATAAAACATACGTGGCACTAACTTATAAGTTTTATTTAACTACAATGTTCGTGACATCAAAACAAAAAAAATTGATACATGGACACAAAACATTAAATCAGAAGGTTAAAATACACCATTAGATAAAGGGAGTAAACTTTAAAATCAACATACCTTAACAAATTTAGAAAGATTAAAAACGACACAACCAACTACATGATGTGTTTGCTTTTGCTTGATAATAAAGAAATCGGAATGTTAAATAAATGCTTGATTTTAATCACCTGATGTTTTTATTGTAAAATATTGAGTTCTGGTCATACCCAATTAAATATGAAATGCAAATTTCTTATTTTAGCTATTACTGAATTAAAAACAAAGAAGTATTGTCTTGGAAGCTTTATCCCAATAAACCTTTCATAGTTTACTACAATATATTTCAAATATTGAACATCCTGACTTACATGCAAACTAACTGAAGTAATCATAAAGGAAGACGGAGCAGCCAGCCTTTTACAAGTAAGATAGCTCAAAAATTAAAGATTTATAATTTAGGAAGTTTAGAAAATTGATAAATAGAGCTACTCTGAAATTGTCAGCGTTCCAACTTGAAACGAGGTCAATGAAGTTTTGTCATTTGATAAACTTTTGATCTGGATAAACAAATACTTTGATCAGGAGCGTGAGAAGCAAGTAAAAGTTGAAGGGTTCAAGATTTTAGGGCAGTCTTTATTTAAAAAAGGGAATTTTAAAGTAATTACTCTCGAAGTCTCTAATTTTGAATAATTTTGTTACATCTCAGTAACCAGAGATACTTCAAAATTGATAGCGTTTGGACTTGACTGTTCATCATGCAAAGTTTTGTCATTTTGTGAGCTTTTGTCGCAAACAAATATTTTAAATACTCTATCTTACAAGTTGATCAATTATAGAGCAAAAAAAATCACGTGTACTATCACGTGAAGAAATGAGTTTTTTACTCCAAGTTGGCGCAATTTCTAAAGACATACCTAGCAAAACGTTTTTATGTCATCATCTGTGTTAGGAATAAGATAAAAGATAGATGACTATACGAGTAAGGAAAGAAATTTTTATTGAGAATGTCATGTTAGATAAAATTAAAATTATTACACATAATGATATCCATTACATAAATTCTGTGACGTGTCAAAACTTTGATTCATCTTGTTGATTGTTAGCCCTGCCGTACAAATGATATTTGAAAAGACTAATGAAATTAATTGTTGGTGATAATGCAAGAAAGGTCAGTATTTTGAAATGATAAATTATCCAATGTGTTATTGGGAAAATCCCACCTAAATCAACAAATGTATCAATATAAAACATATGAAGTGCGAATTCCATCACGAAAATGACATTCAGGTTTTTTGTGACAAATCTACCAAAATTCTGGACATAAGAACAATGACACTATGATAGGTAAACTTTATAATCAACATACCTTAACAAATTTAAAAAGATTAATGGAGACGCAACCATCTACATGATGTCTTTGCTTTTTCTTGATAATAAAGAAATTGGAATGTTCAATAAGTGCTTGATTTTAATCACCTGCTGTTTTTATTGTAAAATATTGAATTCTGCTCATAACAGCGAGACGATAAAATGAGATGAGCAAATTTATATTTTGGCTATAATTGAAATACACACGACAGGGATTGATTTAGAAATTTTATTGCAAATTCAATTTCAATTCAACTCAGTCAACTTATAAATGTTGTACAAATTTAACTATTATTAATTTTCAGTATTGACATGGGTGTGCTGGACCAAAAACATCAAGATGCAGACACTATTTTGCTCGACGAAAGCGGAAATCCTTTACATGCAGTGTCGTAGTTAGACATGAAGAAAGACATGAACTTCTGGGGAGCATATTTTCTAACGCCAAACGCGTGAACCTTTCTAACGAGGTCTCTAAAGTCATGCTCACACTTGGAAAATCTCTAAATCTGGAGTTCTTCAGTAACGATTTCCGGTGATTAATGATTTAAACTTATTCGCAACAGTAAAAACATTATTTTCATTGTTTACTTGAACAAAGCTACTGCCCAAATCCTTGGATTTAATTTTAAAATTTCTTTGTGAGAAAATTTCACCTAGTGTTGTAAGGAGGACTTTCAAAGTAATTACAGCATTACTGAGGTTAATTTAGTATCTTAAATAGCAGTGCTTCTATCAAAATTGTGAGGATGTCGTGATATTGTCATGATAAATTAATTCTCCTTGGTGACATGTCAATAAAAAAATGTTCAACTGGGTTTTAACCAAAAGCATAATTTTATCACTTATAATGTCGGATTTTTCTTTACAATAACTACAAAAAGTGGGCCGTTCAGATTGTGGGACTACATGCTTTAGCTTTGTAAGCTCCCCCCTCGACTTTTGATTGCAGCGTTTGTTTGAGGACAGTGTTAACTTACAGATTAGAGGGAGGCTTTTATCCCATCTAATCCCAAAAAAGGTGATTACGATGATTTGGTTTAAGGGTTTCTCATAAAATCTTTGATTGGCTAATCTATAGTCTAAAACAAATATGGCGGATTCAACTCTCGTCTTTTGTCTTTCAAAAATTTTAATTGACGATATATTTTCTTACTTGGAACAACAGAATGCTTTCTGTTAGGATTGTAGATGCAGAATTTTACGTGGGAAAACTTATAGATGGCTTAGATATTTTGTTTTCTAAATTTCGCGAGGCGAATGTTAACCGTGTTCCAGTTTTGAGGATATTTGGCTCAACTCCTGGTGGACAGAAAACTTGTGTTCATATTCATGAAGTATTTCCTTACTTATACATACCTTACGATGGAACTAAACCCACAGATAAATATCTGAAACAATTTACGACAAGTGTAGACTTTGCTGTTCAAGTTGCGTTTGGTAGAACATCATCTTCTATGAAATATGTTTATAAAACTGAAATTGTTAAAAAAATGTTAGTTATTTTCCTTGTTTTCTCCTCATGTTGACCAAGCTTACTATTATTAAATCTTTTTGACTCTCTTCTCTACATCACAATACAAAATCTTCTATTTTCGACCCAATAACGTTTCAATATTATTCACTCAAAATGATTGTATTTTTTAGACCATTTTATGGTTATCATGAGAACGAAGAAGAGTTTTTTAAGATGGAGTTGTACAATCCAAGAATAATTCTCAAGTAAGATATATTTTTCATGTTGTTCTAACATAAAACGACATCAAAATTTTTCATTTTTCTCAGACTTGTTGATCTTCTTCAGAATGGAGCTATATTGAACAAGTCATTTCAACAACACGAATCTCATGCTCCTTATATTCTACAAGTACTTATTGTTTTTTATTATTAATAAGGAAATAACACATCTTTGATTGTTTTAACCTAGACTGGAGTGGTTAGTTTGTAAACTGTGCACCAGTTAGGGGGCAAGGCCTGCAAAGTTTGTTTTCCCATTCATTGTTTTTCAAAGTAATTGTTTAAAGCAATCTTTGTATTGTACATAGGAGTAAAAAATGGGCTGACTTTTGTACCGACATCAAAGATGCGACATTTGCATATATAGGTGTCTCATTAGACTCTGAAGATGACTACCGTAAAGGTTGTCGAAACGTCAGTCAACAGTGAACAGAAATTTGTATATTTACACAGCAAAGCCAGTGTTTGAGCTGTTTAGAAAACTTACTAAGCACTAATAAATTTTTCATGTAGATATTGTTCATTACATGTTTGTAAATGTAGATCGTCCAGGTTCGTATAGTCCTGAGAAGGACTGTTTTTGTTGTTTAACTCTGAAGATGACTACCGCTAAGGTTGTCGAAACGTCAGTCAACAACAACAAAAACAGTCCTTATCAGGACTATACCAACCTGGACGATCTACATTTACAAACAAGTAACGATACTACCGGGCTCAAATCATTTACTTTATTTAGAGTCAATGCTCAATTCAGATGACTGAATTTACATTTAAAAATTAGTTTAACTTTGGAATGATTCTTTGTGATAACTATCTTTACAGTTGATATTCATCGTTTTAATGTTTGTTATTTGTCATTATTAAGAAATTTATGCCTGGATCCTTCTGTGAAAAAAGTCAGTCGTTGTGGACTTGAAGTTGATGTAATTGCTGAAGACATCTTGAATCAAATAAATGTTGAAAGTAAAGTTTACTTATCTTTATGTCTTCATTTTACTGTTTATACATCTTTAATGAGTTTATTATGTTTATGAAGGTTGTATTGGTCATAATCCATGTATAACTGCTATGTGGGAAGATTAAAGACAACGAAGACGAGATATTGGACTATCTTCACAAGTTGCTCTTCCTGTTTCACAAGGTAAGATACAAAAAAGTACATGTCACATCATTGTATAGCTCACAATACATTTCATGTATTTTATATTGTCATGGTATTTATGATTTATGAGACTCTGACTTATATATCCCACAATGCAGCTGTTTTCTAGTGCATAAAATTTCATGTTTTTTTAACTTTAAACATTGTCATCGTTACATGAAGATGTGTACAACTGCTCTTTTATTAATTTTCTTTTACTTAACAGTTGACAATACTTATGGGTAAAGGAGGCGGGTTAACAATACTTATGGGTAAAGGAAAGGTAACAATACTTATGTAGATTATAAAGGTCCATTAAATATTTTTTTGCATATTTAAAAGAAGTATCTCCAAATTAACACTGAATGTAATTTTATGTCTTTTACTGTCGTGCTGTCTATCTTAAGAATTCATTTTTAATTTGTTTTTAACTGACCGTTAAGGTTCAGCTAAAGCCATGCCTAGAGAGCACCAGAAACGTATTTCTGAATAATTAAAAAGACAGTTATTTTAAAAATACGATATAGTTTTCTACGTTGTAAGCGAAGAGTCTATGTGAACAATTTACTTTTTATTTTTTTGCTTGTTTCAACAAGTTATGGGGCAGTGTTGCCATATGGCAATAAAATCAAATGATTGAATGGAAAACTAATGGGAACATTCGCAAGTTAAAGTGTTAATAAGATATTTATATTACAATAAGAAATGAGGACTGATCTAAATAAAAAAATATTTAGACTCATGAAAGTCAAATAGTGTCTACTTGTCTAAAACGTTTTGATATTGTACTCATGTAAGTTTTTTTATCAATTTTTTGTTACTAATTTAATTCATTAATTTCGCCTAAGAAGATTTTACAATGGCATCTAACATATTAGGATACTTTATATGTATACATGTAACTTAGAATATTTCGGAGTTGAGACTTCTATCTTTTGCATTATCTCTTGATTTTCTTTTTTTATCAGTTATCAACTCTGTTAGACTTCGGGGACCAGAAATTTCTATTGGCAAAGGTCGTGTAGAAGTATTTTACAATGGAGAATGGGGAACAATTTGTGATGATAGCTGGGATATGATGCTAAAGTTGTGTGTCGACAACTTGGTTATGACTATTATTTCAGGGCTTTACTAGGAAGTTATGTTCCTTATGACAGTGGAAGAATATGGTTAGACGACGTTCAATGTGTAGGAAATGAAAGTAATATTTCGAGTTGTTCACATAGAAAATGGGGATTGCATAATTGTGAAGATTATAAAGATGCTGGTGTACAATGTTCAGGTTTGTATGTACATTATTTACATTTTTATACAAAGATGATAAACTGAATTATTTGAGGGATCTTCAATGATTAATTGAAACATTTAATATGATTTTATAATACTGAAATAGATATTGACAAATGCCTTAAGTATAAACACAACTTCGGACGTAAATTAACTAAATAAACACAACTCGTTCCACGAGTACATAATTAAACATAACCAATTTTATGATTGCCCAGAGAAAGATTCGACAATACCAGAGAAAATGGGCAGTCCATTGGCCAACTTTTCCTTGGAGGAATATGATAATCCTTAAATTATCAGTTTTGTTACGATTGTTTACATTCATTATAGCTATTTAAAGCTGTATGCTGTAGCTTATGATGCTCCATTAAAATTTTTTTGCACATTAATAAGGAGCATCTCCAAATTTACACTGCAGTGTAATTTTATGTCTTGTAATGGCGTGCTGTATATCTTAAGAATTCATTTTTAAATTCGTTTCTAACTGACCGTTAAGATTTAGCTAAAGCCATACCTAGAGAGCACCAGAAACATATTTCTCAATAATTAAAAAGACAGTTATTTTAAAAATGCGATAAAGATTCCCACGTTTTAAACGAAGAGTATGAGTGAACTATTTTCTCTTTATTTTTTTGCCTGCATCAACAAGTTATGGGGTAGTTTTGCCATATTGCAATAAAATGAAATGATTGAATGGGAAACCAATGGGGAAAGTTCGCAAGTTAACCGGTTAAGAACTTATGCACAGGGGTTAAACTAGCACCTTTTTAATGTGGGTGAAATTGCACTGCAAGGACACAAGATGCCCTGCAGATCATATAGATTAGTACTTATTCTACAATAAAATATTGTGATGATTGAACAGATTTTCGCTATATATTTTTGTAATACATATTGTATTCTTGTGACTGAACGCACTTTAGCGTATTATTAAATCTTTAATGTCATTTTTTGCATCCTTGCAGATGCCCAATTTTTTAAAATAACATTTAAGTCAACATTGTCCGTAAGGTCTTTTTCACATGCAAGAATGATTAAGTCATTTAATCGCGTTTCTATATTTTTGTGCATCTCAAGCAGTGTTTGACAATCATATACTTCCTGAAACACCTTTCATCTTTTGCAACGGACACTGGAGCGGTCAGCAATAGTTGATACGCCTTGCACACCATTGGAAAGACGTTTTTCTGATTGAAAGCAAATAACGCAACGTCTTGAAGGGATTTGGGTTCTCATTTAAGTTGTGACGATACAATATTATTGAAAACTTCCAACTCAGACAGCAGTATTCGGCATCAACATCTTATACCGCCGGTGGAAAAAGACAGGGGCGGATCTAGGATTTTTCAAACATCAGTCATAAAACGTCGAAGGCGCTCTGCACCTGGGGGGGTCTGAGGCATTCTCCCCTGAGAAATTTTGAATTTCAGAGCCTTGAAAATGCCATTTTCAGCGTTTTAGAGCAATACAAAATGTATTTTGTGGGCATCGTTTTTGCGTAAAAACAACACATTTTGCTTACGTTTTTTTCAAAAAAAAAAAAATGAAGTGAACAATACTTGAATGTTTTGCCAAATATTTAGGCTCATTATCATGCCAAATATATGGCTCATTAGCATGTCTAGGAACGTAAAATTTATTTTACAATAATGCTATTCAAAACAGATATAGTCTTTAAAATTTCTACCAAGTTGTCAGGCATAGACCCCCTAGAGACCCCATTCAAACCTCTATGTAATGAGTTTAGTTAAGTTAGAAATTTGGTACTACAAGTGACAGTTCATAGATATAGAAAAGCTCAGACTTCAAACCATGCAAGTTTATTGTAACCCTTTACCCATCTCCACATCAGTGCCAGCAAATTCACCTTTTGAGAAAAAACTCAAAATTTTTTTCTGCCAAAGGTTAAGCAAAAATTATCAGAGTGAAAATTTGCAGTTAAGGACAGTTTAATGCCATAAATGTTTATTAGGCATTTCACTAGACTATTATCTCCTGTAAGTATATGCAAGGTGTGCTATATAGCAATCACTAGTAGCATTGTGTTTGCAAATACAAACAGAATGTAACCAACATGTCTTTAATTATATAATTACATGAATGTTAAAATTGGTTCATGTGTCATGCTTACTGGTTATGATAAATATCTTTTCATATGATCAAAGTTGTTTAAATGTAAATCAGAAATAATTTAGTTTAGAAATTATAATGATCATCAGAAAAATTACCTAGTGATCATGAAAAATACTTTGCTGTTTTGCCAAATTTCAAGGTTTATCTGCATACATAGAAAGACATTTTTACTTTATAGAAAATGCTTTTCATACATCAATAACCCTTTGGAATTTATGGCAAACAATCTGGTATGAGCCGTAGTCTAACACACCTTTACATCTCTACATGAGGTGTTCAGTTAGAAAAGGGGACAATATGTGACATAGGACAACATTTCATGTATGTGAAATACTCAGGTTTAATACCATTCCAGTCAAATTGTCAAAATAAAAAGCTTCATGGAACAGAAGACTCAAAATCACAGGTTATAGTAAATAGCTTCTCATGTAATCAATGTTAGTTTTCTCAAATCTTACACAATATGTAGTATAACTGTCCAATGATTGAATGATCAATGATCATAAACTGAAAAACCCCAAACATTTGTTTATGATAAAGTAAATAATAGTATGGCGCCTTATGGCTACAGATTTTTTGTCCATTGAAATATATTTGCAGGAATGTAGGATTTCGCTGCCGTATAACGGCCACGATTCCCCAAGCACTAAAGAAATCATAGCTAAAAGTCCTTCGTCAACAACAATTTTAGAAGCATCGATCTGCTTACCATACGCCATATTGACATAAATCGCATCACACACTCGCATAATTGACTTTGATATATTACATTCATGCATACACTTCACTTGTCCTTTACTTACGATTTTGGATGTAAATTTCTGCTGATAAAACTCAAAACAATGTTGGCTTTCTTTTGAACATCAATGACTGAAATGTCGCTCGCGAGATTGTCTTTGCCAAGCATTTAAAATTTATCCATAAATTTCCACCCTCTTGAAAAATTCACATTTTGGACAGCAGCATTCATGTCAATATATGAATTTGTAAAAGATTTCCATAAACTCCATCTGATTGTAGTTTAGTTTCTATCATGCTTATAAAAATTACTATAAAACGATCAAACATTCAATTCAGACAGTGAGCTTGACTATGTTAGTTCAGTTGGCTATCAGTCGAAATCCGTCAAACCAATCACAATAAAGCAAAAATTCAAATGAACCAATTGTAAGATAGCAATTGGACTCCCTTATACGTCCGGCCACCCTTATTATCAGTCGAGACCATTCCAGACTGTCCACTGATCTGGCTATTGACCAATAAAATAAGCGTTTTTGACGTTCATAGACTCCTTTATCCGTCGAACCAGTCAAGCCACCCCGCTTATCAGTCGGTTATTCCAGTTCAATTAAAATTCAACTGATCTGGTTACCAACGAGATATTCATTGGATTAGTCATTAGTTTTCAATAATAAATAATGCGGGATTTTTATCACGAAGTAAATGCGATAAGAAAATAAGAATAATTAATGAATTTTTAATTAATATGAATAGGTAATTTTTGAATTTCAAACATCAGTCGCGCGACGGATTTGACATACTCTAGATCCGCCCCTGGAAAAAGACTACACTTTTCATGAACTGTTTCAGCCTTCGGCCTTTCTAGTGGCAGCTGTAAGCTCTCTCCAAAAGGTTTTATCTGGTCGATGCAAACTTTAATGATATTGGTATACTCGGTAATAAGTGAGTCTAGAACCAAGTACATTTCTTTTGGTACAAATCTTTAAAGGTTTTTCTGTTGTTATTTCGGAATGCTCAGCAATTCGTTTGGGTGACTTTCTTGATCGATGATGACGTGTGTATTCTGCCATTACGTCTATTCCTACTTTGGTAACGAATGCAACCATTGCCTCTATCTCTGAGTCTAATCCGTTATCGTCACTTCGAATTTGTCTAAGGTTTTTTACTGTAGCATCAATCAGGTTAAGTGCATCTACTATATTTAGCTCCTCCTCCTGCTGTTGTTTGATTAGGAGTTTGGTTTTGTCATTATGATTTGCATGAAAATAAGAGAAAAATGAAAGTCGAAACTAAGAAATTTCTTTTTTATTCCATCGCCTTTAGATTTTACTTTTGATTCTATTTCTTGAGCATTAATAACTTTCACAATAGCATTTGGTATTACCTCATAACTTCTCCAGACAGCATCAATGGACTCAGAATTATAAACCCATCTTGTCTTTGACAAGTTTCGAAACTTTAAATTGTTTTCAACATCTTTGCAACTTTCTTCTACAATTTTATTTCTTTTTGTGCTTTTGCTAAAGAGCACATATACGTAATCTAGAGCGCCGTACGTTAATCTACTTATTGAGCTATAATTGCAACAATGCTCGTTGAATGTATTAGAGCGATGTCTCTGGCAAGGGATGTAAGGCACTTGTCGTTTTAAAATTTCTTGCAACACTTTTTGAGCATCATTTAGTTATCCAGATATTGATGTTGCGAAATCGTATGTTTGAAATGCAAGCATATCTATATCGATTTCATTTTCTATTAAAGATTTTATGACATCTTTAGCCGCTCCAGCATCGGTTTTATCAAGGCTCTCTTTCATTTCAAGCCGTCTCTCGCATCGGATGCTCATCTGGTTGACATATTTTACAGCGACGATAAGCATGTCTTGATTCAAAGTATTAGGTGTTGTGTCTGCAGACACAGAAAATACACCGGCTGACTTAATTCAGCACAAATTTCATCCTTCACAGATTGAGCCAGCAAATGATGCATCTCATTTTGTGCCTCTGACCTTGTATATGTTGTACTATATGGCCTTAGGCACTGATCGTCCAGCCACAGCTTGAGAACAGGAGAATGTATTGGAAAAAGATTTACAATCTGAATGAATTTTCCGTCCTTGTCATTGCCGCCTCCTCTGGATGCCAACGACTGCTTGCCTGAGTGCGAGCCACATCAAGAAGAATCAACATAATTTCTTTGTTCTTTTCTTCATCTGCTTTCTCTTGCATCAATATTTCCTTCATTTTCGCATTCATCATTACATCAATATGGCCAGATGTTATTGAAAAACGAGCAAAATCAGCCAGAGTAGCTTGTTGGGACTTGCTACTGAAGTGTTTATTAAGTTTTCCTTCATAAACACTTCAGGGAGAAAGATTATATTTTGTTCTTTTACTTTTCATTGCAAAAAATGACGTGTTTCATCTTTCTATTGCTACCAAGGAAAAATACTATGATTATGCCAATGGATAAAACGTTTTGATTTAATCATGGTAAGACTTGGCAAACACAAGTA